TTAGCCGGCTTCACCAGCTAAATTGTACAGCCCTAATTGTAGAAAAGGCATTTTTGCTTAACAGAAGAAGCTTATATGCCTTTTATTCTAAGACCCTCAATTGTTTCAATGATCATGATTGTTAATATATTTATATTTTGAAGTTGGCACAATTGCCAAATTGTTGATAATGGCGAATGCGCCGGGATAATGTCTGCAAATTAATGTCTTTATAGATCTTTACTTTATATTAGAGTTAACAACCGTACTCTGTACAGGGTACATATTTGTGAGTAAAACACATAAGAAAATAAGTTTAAAAAGGCATTTTTTTAGTGGGGCATTAAAACGTATTTGCATTAATTAATTCAAGAAATATATTTATGGTTAGCACGTATTTCCTAATTTGCTTTTTTTATCTATCCCCTCATGTCTTATCATAAGTCCCCACTGTTACCTTTTGAACGAAAAAAGGTGACATCGGACAAAAACCATTGTCAAAAATATTAAGTATACTACTTTTTGATAGGTGCCTATTTAAGGGGTGTCAAGAGGGCAGTATCAACTTAAACATTTTAAATGGAAAGGGGTGATATCTCAGGTATATCGATTCTATTTAAATTTTTAAAATCCGTTTAACTGTTGCCAAGAAATTAAGCATTTGAGTTTTTCAAACTAATACATTTTCTTGTGATACCTCACTTGAAAAGTATTTAGATTCTCTATTCAACGCATTTATAAAATCTGTTCAATGGTTGCTAAGATATTAAATGTTTAAATAAAATTAATTATCAATTCAAAATTTTCTTTTGTGTATTGAGAGAAATGAAAAGTTTAGTACGAAATTAGGGATTTAGAAATAAAATTTAAACGTTATCTCAGTTTGGCAAAAGTTACAAATATTTTAATCTTTGGTACCTACCACCACACTTATCTGATATTATTTTAATTACTAATGTTTAATTTTCATAAAATCATAAATTTACGTTACTAAAAGTAAACAGTCACAGTATTCTCACTTGACGCAAAAAATTCGGCAAACAATAAAATTCGGCGCCTGTTTCTGTCAGTTGGTGCAATTTATAAATAGCAGCAGGCATTTATCGTATCTGTTTTCATGAATTAAAGTGATTTTTAGGGAATTTTTAGTACGGTTTTATGAAATGGCAAGTGTGTGGACATATTTAAACAGTAGTTTGCAAAGGCAGAGTTCAGAGGATGTAACAGACTCAACAGGGTTGGTAAATGTTTGCTATATATTTTTTTGTTAACCCACCCATTGCACCGTGGGTATGGTGTTTTACATTTTTCACTTTTTATTTAAAGTAAAAAATAAATAGTAATTCGGCAAGTAGGGTGAAATGTATCGGCCACTTCCCAAGAATCATTTTATTAAAAAGTTTAAATAACTACATATTCACTTATTAGTTGACTTATTTTTAATGGTACAAATACGAAAAATATCCAAACTTGGGAAATGGTTTAATACGTGGTTTTCACCACATAATAAATATCCAAGCTTTTAAAACAATAACGTATTAACAAATTAAACGCCACATATTTAATTTACATTTTAAAATGTTTACCCAAAGTATAAAGTTTACCTTAAAGTAAAATTATTAAATATAATAAATTGGCAAAAATAATTTTATTTAGGATAAATAATTTAGCATTAAAACTCAAACGCATCTTATATTATAATAAATATAGCTATGATACAGGTTACAAAAATCTATGCCTTCTAAATATTGTAGTGTTTAAAATAAATACCTGCATATATGACTCAAGTACAAGATCTAAAAAACTTACTTATATAATATATTATTTATAAAAAATCATTTAATTTCATTAACTTCCCAATGATTGGAGGATTATATTTTTTTTCTACTCCTATTCCATATTATTGACATTATTTGGGTTTTTTCGTAAATAATGGTAACCAATATAACCGCCCGGCGTAATAACGGGAATATTGAACTCATTATTCACGTTGTTAGGCATCAGTGATTGGCTAATTTCAATATTCACTGTTACTTGAACCAATCGGGTTTTAAATTGGGAAAAAGTAAGGTTAACAGATGTCAGATTTGTTTATATATACGAGGGGCGACTATAATCATCTTTTAAATCGGGAAAAAGTGAGGTGATAATAATTTTGTTATCAATGTAAATTACTTAATTGGAGAAGAAAAGCATAGTATTACACTCGAAATAATGCGCATTATTTACTCGGATGATTGCATTTCAAAACCTCATCCTAATAGCCTGCATTATCTCTCGTATAATAGGTAATATATTATTTCTAAAATATTTGTAAAAAATAATACATTCAATATTGAATGACATATTTAATAATTTATTATAGCGCTTTTCAAAAATATTACTCTTAGTTTTATTTTTTACCTAAAGTTAATTTTTTTAAGACATAATTTATAGTTTTTTTATATAATTTTAATTATAATAATAATTATTATTATATAATTTTAATTCTTAAATAATTCAGGCAAATAAAAATTATTTACGGTTATAAAGTGGTTTAAATAATATTAAATAAAAAACATTTAAAGCAATTTATAACCGTAAATATTTTTTATTAGTCTGGAAATTTTTGATGGTAAAAATATGACTTATAAGTAAAATTTTGTTTAGATTGAAAATATTTACCGTTAAGAATCCCTTAAAATAAAATAAACCCATAAAGCAACATCATTGAAATACTTCAGAGTTGTAAGACTGCATATTTTAAAGAAAGTAAAAATTCATAATAAATAAGTTATTAATAATTATAATTATATTACTTGACAAGATTTTTTACTCTTATGGCACTTTTTAATGTTAATTTAACAACACAATTACATGTACCTAAATTGTAAAAATCACTACCGGTATTGATTTTGGCTATACTCTTTACAGTTCCAACTAAAATAGTAAAATAGTCGAGGTTTGCTGATTTATTAATGAATTTAGGTAATTATGTTGTTAAATTAACATTAAAAAGTGCCATAAAATTAAAAAATCTTGTGAATTTAATAACCTAAAAATATACCATGTGGTAGAAATGGTTCTATTACGTGAAACTTCCACTGTGAAAGTGAATAAAATAGCGTTTTTTTATTATTATTATTTTATTTATATAAATAAAAAATACATGTTTCCAGAAAATAAATTATTTTATCTTAAACCTATTAATTTAATAATAATATTAAAAAAACTTTAGGAACTGCCCTTTAACCGAACTTGTAGCTCTTTTAATAAAAAAGATACCCATACATATAGAATGATATTATCCTACATCCTGTATAGTATGTACCTATATATACACTGTATGTTTACATGTAAACATACACATTTATCTACATTTTCATTCAATTTGTGATTTTTTCATACTATACAGACATGTTTATCCCACGTTGTGATTACGTTACTAAAACGTGTAGGTACCTAATGTCTTTATTATTTTTGGTCACGTGAAATTAATAACACTAGACAACAAATTTTAACTTTTTTTAAAAGTCCTGGATGAAAATAGAATTTTTCGATTGTTTATGACTTCAGGTCATAAATAAAAAATAGAAGCACAGTATTTTGGTACCATTTGTTGAACTTTTTTAGGTAGTTAGTACTTATAGAAAAAAACTTATAGAGCTATATTCTAGAATAAAAACCAAAATAGTCCGTTTTAACGAAGTTGATAATCATACTTTTCTACGTTTATTATTTGTCCTAAAAGTTCTCTGTTTCTTAAACAAAAAATTGTTTACAATTAAAGTTTTTAAAATTTAGTTGAATCATCAGCAATTTTGTCACTGAAGAAGCCATCAATCCATAATGCTTTCATCATACTAAAAATTCTTTCATTTGCGTTATACGCTGGAATTAAACTCATTATTTATGTACAAAGTTACCCTCTCATTAACGTGCAAAAGCTTTCAGACTGAACTTTTGTAATAATTTGTTTCACATTTTACTCAAAAACACCCTTATTTCGACTTCGATGCGTTTATTTCGACTTCACGCGTCAGAGATGACGCTGAAATACCGGTATTTTGACATTTTCAGTATTTATTAATAAAAAAGAGTACGCTTGGTTGTAAAAGTGAGAGAAGAGATTTTTTCAATAAAATTACTAAATTTATAATATGTTTATAGTGTCCAAATGCACGCTACGCTGTCTAGAATCTCCCCGTATGTGCAGTGACTTTGGACAGATGACCGAAAATTTTCAAAAATTTGTAGCAAACCCATCTTACGGTTTAAAGTGCACATAAGTATTTATCTCATTACGTTTTCAGAAGTCAAAACTATTACATGAAACTTTGAAATTAGAAATAATTACATTTTTAAGAGAGGCAAAAAAATCTAAAAATTGTCCAATGTCTCCCCACTCTCACCTATCTAAATTAATGTGTTGCTTACATTTATTATAATACATGCAAAGGTTTAATATTCCTTTTAAAAAGTATATTCTTATAAACTTAATTTTAGGAAATAGAAATATATTAAAGTTTATTTTTGATGTTACATATCGTCGTTTATCTGACAAAGAGGCGTAACTCAAAAAAATTCGTTTTTGAGTTATACCAGAATGATCACCAAAATCGACTTTATAATCTCACAAACTGGCGTAGCTCTATAATAAATAGGTACAAATAAAGTTTTAGCATAAATCAGTTTCGGCGTAACTAATATTTTTGCATTTTGTGTGCCGTACAAACTGGCGTAATTCAATTCACACCGTTTTGTTTAAAAATGAGATACGCCTCTTTGTCAGATAAACGACGATATGTAGAATTGTATACAATTACGATATTTAAGTCAATAAAATTATAACCATTTAAGAAGAATACGTGGTCATTAACCAATTTATTTTCGCACATTATTGCTAAGCGTGTGATTTCCAAATATGGCTCATCCAATCCTCCCACGTACAGGAAACACCTAAGTAAAATGTATTTACATTACTTTTTCATTTAGAATGTTTTACTGGCAAACAAGGTCATAGATCAGAATTTCTTTGGGTCAGCACGACTATGTTAGGTACCTAGTCACCAGTTTTAGTATAGCGGTGAAGTGTGTACAATAATTTAAATAATTATAATTAATATTAACAATTAAAAGTGGTGGTGATATTAACATAGTTGCAAAATGGATATGGAAAGTGAGGAAATACTTTGGAAGCAAATTTTTAATAAATTACAAACGCAACGGTCGGTTCATCAGGAGGCCACGGATCATGAATTAACGTAAGTCGTGTAAAATTTGGTTAAAAATCAGAATTTTATGCATCAGTTCCATCAAACTTCAAGGTGGCTTGATATATTACAATACGATTAACATAATAATAATAATGAGACATTTAATTAGTTTCCACAAAATTTTATTAAGGCTAATTAAATGAAAAAGTACCTACCGGTTAATGTAAATTGTTTATTATTAAACAAAGTTCCCAACCGCAGCACAGAATATCAAATAAATGAGGTAATACACCGAAATACAAGGTTCTAAGAACTTATCTGTGATAAATCTAGTGGGTATCTCGGTTAAACAAATGTTTTGTTGAAAATTTTAACAAATTTAATAAGATTTTGTAATATAATTTTAATTTATTAAATATATTAATAATAAAACATCAAAAATTAATTAAAACAATTTAGTAATTTTTATGATACCTAATATTATTTCTTTAATTTGTATTTATTTAATGCCTAACAAGATCTGTTTACACCTAGTATGATTATATTATCTAAAATAGTCACACTAATTAGATTTTTAAATTAAGCAAACATTGAATCATTTCTAAAATAAACTGGGCATGATTTATTTTGCTTCTAAATAAGTACCTACCAAGTTATTATAAATTTTATCTTTTTTATCATTATTATCTCTAATATTACCTAGGTTATCCTCATAACTAAATCTAAAGGAAAAATAGAACCCATTTCGTCATAATTTTTATTTACAACGTACAATTTAAAACATTTATAAGCATTAAAACCAACACGTTTAAACTTTTATTTGAACTTGTATCACTGTGCGCTATTATGCAAACTCCCAGGTAACATAGGCAACCGCGCAATCCAGCCTAACCACAAAAATTGGTCTGTCAATACGCAGACTCATTCAGTGTTATTATGTGTTTTATTAAATAATTTAAAGAAATCAAAACGTAATTGAGTGAATTGTTTGATAAGCATAGAAGTTTTGTTGCAAAATGTACAACTTTAATACATTTTCTGCGTTAACTAGAACCGACAAACATTATAACCTCATCGTTCGTTCGATGAATTTATTGAGCAAAAAGGCCTACGTGAACGGAGAATGGGTGCCAGCCACTTCAAATGAAGTTTTCGAAGTGAAAAACCCTGCGGATTGTTCCACGATAGAAAAAATTCCGGACATGGATGTGGGTGACGTACAAAATGCCATCCAGTGTGCATCTAAAGCTTTCCAAACGTGGAAATCTACTACAGCTAAAGAAAGGTCAATTTTATTAAGGAAATGGTTCGATTTAATGACTGAAAATCAAAAAAGTATCGCGAAAATCCTAACAGCTGAGTCTGGAAAACCGCTGTCTGAAGCTATGGGGGAGGTGCATTATGGTAACTCATTTGTGGAGTGGTTTTCGGAACAAGCAAGAAATGTAAGAGGTGAGATAATACCAAGCCCTACTCCGTCAAAAAAGATAATGATAGAACACTATCCAATTGGAGTAGTTGGTTTAATAACCCCATGGAACTTCCCGCACGCCATGATTACAAGAAAGGCTTCAGCTGCGCTTGCTGTTGGTTGTACCTGCGTCATAAAACCTGCAGAAGATACACCATTAACTGCATTGGCTATTGTGAAACTGGCTGAAGAAGCCGGGATTCCCAAGGGAGTTTTAAATGTGGTGACAAGTGACAGAAAAAATGCACCCGCTATAGGTAAACTGCTTTGTGAAAGTCCATTGGTAGCTGGTATATCTTTTACGGGATCTACGCAAGTTGGCAAAATATTGTACCAACAATGTGCCAAAGGGATTAAACGGATCGGGCTGGAATTGGGGGGTAATGCGCCTTTTATAGTATATAACAGCGCCAATATTGATAATGCTGTTGAGGGTGCTATGGCTTCAAAATTCAGAAATTGTGGGCAAACGTGCGTATCATCAAACAGATTCTTAATACAAGAAGACGTTTACGAAAAATTTGTAAACAAACTAGTGGAAGAAATCAAAAAATTAACCATAGGTAATGGAGCAAATACGGGAGTTAATCTAGGACCACTCATAAACACTTTACAAATGAATAAGGTATCTTCGTTTGTTGAAGACGCCATAAGAAAAGGAGCTAAGGTTTTAACGGGTGGCAAGCCTGCCAAGGACATCGGCGAGCTTTTCTACGAACCAACTGTAATCACAAACATTAAAGACAATATGGATGTATACAATGACGAAGTATTTGGACCTATAGTCACCATAATTAAATTTAAAACCGAGGAAGAAAGTCTTAAAATAGCGAATGGAGTAAACAGAGGTTTGGCTGGTTACTTTTATTCGCAGGATGTTTCGCAAATATTCAGGGTTAATAAACTGTTAGAGGTTGGAATGATTGGTATAAATAATGGTATTATTTCCACTGCTGAGGCTCCATTTGGAGGTATTAAGGAGTCTGGTATAGGAAGAGAGGGATCTCATCTGGGCATTGAAGATTATTCTTATGTTAAATATACATGTTTAGGAGGACTCAATTAATTTTAATTTTATTAATAGAGTAACTTTTACTCTAGAGACAAATTTGACTAATTACCTCTAAAGCAGTTACCACTTATACCACAATATATGTATTTTCGTAGCATATTTTAAAGAATAAAATGATGCCAAAATAACAATAAGTTTCAATTATTTAAAGTTTAACATATTGTTTGGTAATTGCTTCAGAGGTAATTATGGAATGAGTAAGTCAAATGTATGTCTAGAGTAAAAGTGGCAAATTACCTCAATTCATTATCTAAATTTTCATTTTATAAATGTTTTTAAGTTATTCTATTAGAGCTCTTTAGTAGAATAATTTTATCAGTGTTAAAAATGTATTGTAAAAAAACAATTAAGATTAAGGTGATAGCGCTAGTCAGTGATATGATTTAATTTTGAATTGTTATGTAAGTAACAATAATTGTAAATAGTAGACACATTCCTATAATATTAATTATTGAGATTAAATGTAAAATATTTTATTCATATTAGTGCATGTGTTTTAACTTATCTATCAAGTGGTCATATTTAAGGACCTTACGTTTACTATCCAATGTCTTCCAAAATTGTCTTCCAATTAAATGTAAATCTATTGTACCAAAATAAATATTAATAAATAAACGTATACGTTTATAAAGTGTTTTCTTTTAATTCAAATTTTTATATCAAAAAAAATTCTGGGTGTCACGCCCAAAGTCTACTTTGAGCAAACAAAACAATTTTTTTGGGTATCATTTTTTTCCATTTGCGAATTTATTTATAATTTAATACATAGGTTTTTATGTACAGGCAAATTTTAAAATTTGGTCTGGTTTTAGACATTTAAATACCGTTCTTCAACATCCGACTACTATGCGCTAGTTTACTCGACAATTGGTTACAATATTGTATCCAAGCCGATCCATAGGCAATAATATATATTATTGCCTATGGATCGGCTGTGGGAACGAACCGCATTTTTTATAGTCAAAAAAGGCTTATACGTCTTATTTTTGGGAAATCTTGTTTAACTACACTGAGAAAAAAGTTTGTTGCTGGGCAATAAATATTTAAGCCTCCCAAATAAAAAAAATATTTAAATATGGGACAAGGGTATAGTTTATTTAACCCAAATATTTTTTCCTGTATTTCCCAAATAAACAGTTTATTGATGCCTGTTTATTGGTGGCCCTAATAAACTGTTTATTAATGACAAATAACTGTTTACTTGTCACAAGTATTTATTTATTTATGCCAAGTAGACTAATAAATAGGTTTAGCCTTTGTATATATATCACAAATAACTTAGTACTTTCCAAGACCTTTGCACATTCATAATTATAATACACGGTAAAATCACGATTTTCGATTAGCTCATTTCTCTCGTATATTGCACAAGAAATCACCCATATAATATAATATATGGCATATTATGCCGGTTGTCATTACTTTAATATGCTACCGCCACATGTGCACATAAAAAATGAGCATTCCTTAAGGTGTTTTAAAAGTAAACTGAAAACTTTTTTATATGAAAATGCTTTTTATAATATTAATGGGTTTACAGCCGCCTTATCTATGCCTATACGGTGATTTTTATTAAGTGTATGAGGATATGGATTAACAATTGTTATTTTTATTATTGTGAGTATAATACTTAATATTGTACAGGGTTAGGCTTAGCAGGGCAGCATTTAAATTAGGTTTTAATGTTGCAGTTCATTGGGTAGGAAAAATGTTTTTTGCGATATTTAGTATAGAAAGCTTAAATATATTTAAGCTTTCTATACTAAATATATATTGTATACAAGTTCATCAAATAAGTAATAATTAAAGAATAATATTAATTAATAAAGAACAAATAGTTATTTTTGTTATAAGCTCCCAAAAACATCTATTTTGCGGACTCATTAAGTCCGTAAAATGCTTCTTTTTCGCCCTAAAAGTCGTACAGACTATTCCAAAATTCCTTAGAATGTCTAAATTCGAAAAAAAAACTGTTTCCATTATTTGATTTTTTATCTATACTAACAATATCAAAAGCTAACAATTAATCTAATAAATATTCGACTAATAAAAGGTATATGGAAAAATGAAAATGAAATGAACAATTTTGTGCATTTTGAAAACTGCACTGAGAAAAAAGTTTATTGCTCCCAAATAAAAAAAAATATTTAAATATGGGACAAGGGTACACTTTATTTATCCTAAATATATTTTTATTCCCGACACATAAAGTTTTACTAAAGTATATTTATCGTTATTATTTCGACTATTTAGAGGTAATAAACAATATATTCACTATTAATAAAAGTATTAGCTATAGCTATAGCGGAAGATTACATAGAAGAACCTGTTGAGAAAAATAAGAAAATGGGGGAAAAGAAAGTAGTGACCACTTGCACGGATGTATCAACGATCTACATCGTTCGCATTTGCTCCACCTTATCAGAAAGTAAATTTACGTGCCAATGGAAAAGAAGTCATTTCGTTTACATATACCTACCACACTGAGAAGTGTGGTAGGTATATGTAAACGAAATGACTTCTTTTTCATTGGCACGTAAATTTACTTTCTGATAAGGTGGAGCAAATGCGAACGATGTAGATCGTTGATACATCCGTGCAAGTGGTCACTACTTTCTTTTCCCCCATTTTCTTATTTTTCTCAACAGGTTCTTCTATGTAATCTTCCGCCACTGTGAACGACCAAAATAATTATTGTTGTTAAGAACAAGATCGGAAAATATTAATATTTTTACCTTCAACCTCCTAGGCGTTTCAGCGATGTAAAATTCACACACTGAGAAAAAAATGGGACAAATAAACTGTGTACCTAATACTTTTATTTGTAGTGAATATATTGTTTATTACTTCTAAATAGTCGAAATAATAACGATAAATATACTTTAGTAAAACTTTATGTGTCGGGAATAAAAATATATTTAGGATAAATAAACTGTACCCTTGTCCCATATTTAAATATTTTTTTTATTTGGGAGCAATAAACTTTTTTCTCAGTGCATCTGCATCTGTAGCAAGAGTAGCAGCGCTACGTCGGAAACAATGACCTGTATATGGGCAAATTTTCGTTAAATGTACATTTGCTGTCCCCAGCTATTTTTATTTTTGACCGTTGTTGATAAGTTTTCGATTTATTATATTTAAATACCCCCTTCCTGTTAGGACCCATCGTATTTTTTTTAATTACTTTTTGTTTCTATATATGGCCGAAAAACTAGGTGAAATGTCCTGTAACCTAACTGTCCCCAGAGGCGATTTTTTAATTTAAATTATTATATTCTTCTTCTTTGCAGCTTTCTTTTAAAAAAATAAATTATTTTTGAACAATGGAAAGTTCTTTTATTCGTATATAAAACTAAAATAGTTTTTTACAAAGTAGTTTAAACAGAAAAAAAATATTAAAGTTGACATTCAAAAATCTTGTCTTTTTCCTAACGTCGTCTTCTATGCCGACTGCTTCGAAATAGAGACACGAGATAGAGATACTAGCGTTTTATTTCTAAAGGGCATCCAGTTTGATAGTTCGGCAACAACAAGTGAGAACGTGTGTGAATTTTTTTGTAAATATTTTAAAGGTAAGATTTTTTTGCGTACACTTTTTGGTGTCTTTTACAAAACGCTACATACAACACAGCTGTCCAGAACGGGTCAAAAGTTAAAAAAAAAATGACAACAGAAACTAACCATGGCGGGATGCTAAGGACCATCCCTGCGTTATAAAACAGTTTTAAGTGAAATCCCAGCAGATCCTTTTTTTAAGTTTTTGCCATTTTTATTTTTATAAAAATATCGTATTTTATATGCAGGTCTTATTATTAAAAAATAGCAATTTTTTATAATATTATGAGTTACTAAATTTAAATAAGTTATATAAGATATAAAAAATTAAACTTAATCATTGGGTACACAAACCAATTTTTAATAATTAAATTTATTATGTAACACAGTTGGCCGTGATTTTTGTAATAAAACAAAAGAAGGCATACTTCAAATAAAACATTATTTTCTGTCAAATTTAGTTTGTCACATATCTGTTTTCAATCAAAATGAAGACAAAACCTTCTGTAAAAGTAAGTCATAATCAAAATCGACAAAAAGTTTGCGCTGGTTGTGGTATGAAGATTAAATTTGGTAAAAGTAAAAAAGTTGTGTTTGCTGTGACGTCGAAAATTGATAATTTATTAAAGTAATTTTCTAACCAAAAATTTGATATTAATAATGAAAAGTTTCCTATATCAATTTGTAGTAGTTGTAGACTTTCACTTTTCGAACGAGAAAAAAATATTTTTTAAGACCACTACCTAAAATGCCAGAATTTGACATGGAATTTGTTAAGAAATTTGCAACCAGAGGTAATACCGACGTAAATAATTGTGACTGTAAGTTGACATGTAAAGTTGCTCAACAAAAAGGTCATAAAAAGTTGCTAAAGGAAGACCGTCGACTCAAGGCCCACAGATGGATGTTACAATACACAAGATTTGTTCCACATGCTATCAACAAATTGGCCGGGGAAAAAGGCATAATTGTTCTACTTGTAAAGCTCATACCAACATTGTGAATATTATTGAAAATATTCCAAATAAACGCCAAGAAAAAGTACTAGCTAAGCTGCTAAAGAAAGTAAAAAATGAAAATATATCTTCAAAGGGCGCCGCTTTAAATTTGGCTACTGGAGGAAAACCATCCAGGGTGTCAGAAAATCTCAAAGTTATCAGAAAAGCAGGTTTCTCCGCAGAAAGCTTGGATAAATTTCAGGTTACTTCGGAAATCTCCAACATCGGTATGAAAAGATTATCGACTTTTGTTAGATCATCTATGGGTAGAAAATCAATTCCATCAAATCATATACAACACGTTGCTGAAAATTCCAAAATTTTAGACAATTATTATACACTGAAAGATCGTTATTTTGATGTCGACGGTGCTGTTGAGAAACGTTAAAGGTCAGTTGTTTATTCAGATGCAGAAACTTTGCTGGAAAAAATTGTAATAGACAGAAAAATAGTAGGAAGTTACAGTGTAAAGCTAATGGCAGATGGGGGTCAAGGCTTTTTAAAGATTTCCATGTCAGTAATGGTTACCGATCAAGATAGATAGGCTAATGGATGGCATGAGGAAAGTGGACAAGAAAAAGGATTTAAGGATACCAGTGTCAACAAACTAATACTAATTTGCATAGTTCATCAGGTAAAAGAGACATATAAAAACTTGAAGTTACTTTTTGAGCTATCAAATATAAAAAATATTTATTGCAAATTTGTGTCAGTACCTACGCATTAAAAATAATTCAAAAAAACACAAAAACATGAAAAAATCAGAAAAAGGATCAGATGGGATTTACGCAAAAGGTGTTTATTATTGCGGGAGTTGTCTCTAACAATACCGTACAGTTGGTTTTTGTTGTCATTTTTTTCTAACTTTTGACCCGTTCTGGACAGCTGTGACAACTCTTGTTTTAGAAGTTAACTTTTTTATTTTCATTTTGTATTATAGCATAGTAGAAATGCCAAACAAATGCCGAAAGATATTTACATTTAACAGAATTTCTAAAAAATAACGTTTGAAAAAGTCAAAAGCAATGTACATTGTACACGTGTCATAAAACGTTTAGGAAGATGCGTTAGTAGTCCAGTCATCTTAGTATTTCACCTCGGAATCTAACGGAATAAGCTGAATTTTTGTACAAACCTTTATTTTAGCATTGCAAATAGATATTTAAGGTCAAAGGTCGCAAAAATCAATTTTTTGAGAATATCTCCTTTTCTCTGCCTCCTATCGTATTTGCATTTATTATACCTATATTTAAAGCAAGTTGTGACCCTAGGTATAGGTCTAGGGTTGTGACAGATAATATTCGTAATATTTTAAAGGTTAAAATGGCTGATTTGTATTTTATTTGTAATAAGTTACTTTCTGAAGGTGATTCTGTGACTTTTGTGCGCGGTATAAAGACTTTAAAAGAAGCAATTATTGAGAGAAATAAATAAAACATAAACTACCTAAATACTTTGACTTCTGTGAACGTTCATATTGAGTGTCGAAAATTGTACGCTATAGCGTACTATAGTATACTTTTATAAAATTGCAGCAGCAAAACGTCGCCTTGAAGAGACTGAACCTTCAACGTCATCAACTGTACCTCGTAAAAAAGGGAATGATTTGTTTGTGCTTATTTTGTGGTGAAGTCGCAGATGAAGCAACAAAGGCAAAAAAATCTACAAAGTACAAACGCGTTATAAGTAAGTTTTTGAAGATATGACAATTAATGTCAATGATAACGAGGAGAGTGATGATGAGAATGAGTCTGAAATTGCTGGCCAATCTGAAGAAGATGAGGATGAAGAAGATAAAGATTAATAATAATAATAATAATTATAATATTGATATAAATAAAAACATTTTTTCCTACTACGATCCAATTATCCTTCATTAAAATTAAATTAAAATATAAGATTTATTTATTTATATTATATGAAGATGAAATATATTTGATTTAAAATAAAAATAAATATAAGTATAAGGTATTAAATTTTTATTTTAGTAATATTTATTATATTATTAATTAAAAAAAAACGGTATAATAGATTGGGATTCACGATTTACCTTGCGCTAAGGGTACGTATGGCTGAGCGCTCCACACTCTGCGCCCTCTATCTCAAAAACGGTTCGACGTATAAAAAAAAATTGTAAACAAAATTTGTAGAGAATTTTATTCTCTACAACTTTTATTATAAATGCAAATACGATAGGAGGCAGAGAAAACGAAATATTCTTAAAAAACTGATTTTTGCGACCATTGACCTTGAATATCTAAGGCCGCTCACAAGTTGGCATATGTGACTTTTGAGACAACATTAAATGTAAATTTTGTAATGCTAAAATAAAGGTTTTCACAAAAATTCAGCTTATTCCGTTAGATTCCGAGGTTGATCCCTTTTTTTGACTAAGATGACTGTACTATAGGAGGAGGACAATGTTTCATTTCTTCCTTGTGTTCCTTCCCTATTGCAGATTAACCCTATACGTTTTATTTCTTCAAAGTTAATTTTTGTTATTTATAAACTTATAGAATTTTTTTGCAGTCTATTACACTGTTCTATCACAAAGGAAAAATAATCGATCAAATTGACCTGCCTGGACAAAATATATATGGGTCATTTCACGTCAAATTTACCGACAAAATTTAAATTTGCCTGAAATATTTTTTTTTTCGTTTACGACACCAAAAAAAGTGACACGTATTTTTTTGTTTCAAAATTTTATAAATTATGTTAAAGTTACGATTTTTTTTTAAATTTCACTACCAGAAAAAAATAATTTTAAACAGTAGTTTTTGAATAGAATAGGATTTAATAAACTTTAATTTTTTTTGGCTTAATTTTAAGGTTATGCATTGTTTTAAATATTTAAATTAAAAAAAAATAATATTTTTTTAATTCAATTTTTTTAAGCAAATTTTAAAAATTAATAAAAAAAAATGAAAATCGACATTTTTTTTTTAAATTTTTAAAATGTGTATTAACTTGTCAAAGTTTGCAGAACATTGTATAAAAATTTCAGAATGGACCGTTTAATATCGTATGAAATATTAATAATTTTAGATATCCGCGCTCTTAAAATGAAGGCTGTTACAGAGGCATATTTAAGATAAAGCATGATGGGCTATTAAAATTACAATTAGGGATGGGTTAGATAATATATTGGATTATATTATATGTATTTTAGAATTAAAATTGTATCAAGGTTGTAATTTTTAATACTTTTTTACTATTAAAAACTGATTAATAATTTAAACAAATGTACAACAGTGTGTTAATTCATGGTTAGTTGCACATCGACTTTTCTTAGTGTAAAAAAAACTTTTTCTAGGACTAATAAAATATTTAACAATAAAAATCGTCGTAAAGTGGCTTTTATTAAAAGTATATATTTGCAATTCTCTGTCAATTTTATAAATTAATGGTACATTTATCTAAGAAGTGGTAGACATTTATTAAGCAATATTAAACTTAAAATCCAGGGGACAATAAATAAGTTTTATTTTAGAATAAAATATTTTAAAAAATTTTAAAACTAGGTATTTTATGAAATTTGCTTTATAGGCTTGTGTTTTACTCCTGTCCCCAAAGAAAATAAATAAAGTTTTAATTATTATAATAGCTATAGCTTATCACTTGAACCATTTTAACGAATGTAAATTTTTATTAATATTGCATTAAAAAATATAAAATGGTAAAATTTCAAATTTCTGTTCGTAATTTTGAATGTTAATCGTCAATATTTTGCTATATCATAAATATGTCTCTGTAACAGCTTTCATTTTAAGAACGCGGATATCTAAAATTATTAATATTTCATACGATATTAAACGGTCCATTCTGAAATTTTTATACCATGTTCTGCAAACTTTGACAAGTTAATACACATTTTAAAAATTTAAAAAAAAAATGTCGATTTTCATTTTTTTTTTATTAATTTTTAAAATTGGCTTAAAAAACTTGAATTAAATTTTTTTTTTTTTTTTTAATTTTAATATTTAAAACAATGCATAACCTTAAAATTAAGCCAAAAAAAAATTAAAGTTTATTAAATCTTATTCTATTCAAAAACTAATGTTTAAAATTCTTTTTTTCTGGTACTGAAATTTTAAAAAATCGTAACTTTAACAAAATTCATAAAATTTTGAAACAAAAAAATACGTGTCACTTTTTTTGGTGTCGTAAACGAAAAAAAAAATATTTCAGACAAATTTAAATTTTGACGGTAAATTTGACGTGAAATGACCCATATACAAAATGTACATTTAACGAAAATTCGCCCATATTCGTTTGGGTTCGGCAACTTTAAAAATGCTGCTACAATCGAAGGAATCTTTCCGAATGAATGAATGCCGACGCGTTGCACGGTGCATTTTTCTTTACGATATTAGATGAAGACATAATCATGTAGTACATTTTTTGGTCGAAGACAAGCATATTTTCTATACAACTAAACTGGATTGACAACGTTTTCTTCGGCCACCACCGGAAACACTCTTTTGATATTAGTCTTTGTATCAGCAAGAGTAACTAAAAAGCAGTTGTTGTCTTTTTCAATGATGGCTTGCACTCGTAGAGAGTGCAATTCTTCTCTTCTATATCCTCCACAAAGGCCAATAATAAAAGCAACCTAAAAATCAAATAAAATGCAATAAGAAACCATCTACATTTTTTAATTTATCACCGCAAACTAACCTTAGTAATTAAATAAGTTTCATCACTATCACTATAGCCGTAGTCAAAAATTGATCAATCTATTTTCTGGACAAAAACTTAGTTTTTTTAGGCTCGTAACCAATCGAATTCCTCTTCAAAAAAGTAATAACTCTTGGAAATTTATCGATATGGATATTTTCTTTAACGCTTAACACTGCTTTTAGGGTTTTAAATGTTTACTTACTTTTTCGTGTAAATGATTTAGCATCTTCATTTACAACGATAACGCCATTTTTGTTTTTCCATTTAATAAAAATTCTTTATGGCAAGTGGCACGAGACTTAACAGAAAATAAATCCAATACAATTTTTTGGGCCTTATTAGCAATATATTCTGGATTTTGGAACATTTTAAAATTTATGTGACATTACAAAATTATCAAATGAACAAACTTGTTGCCCTAGGCTTGTTGCTACGATATCAATTATTTATAAGCCAACTTTTTTGAACATGAAGCGTTCTGAAAAATTGTAAAAAGCGTATGACAAAAAATAGTATTTGTCACACGTAACTATAGTTTTTCAGGACTCATATTCTATTCCGGACTCGGCGAAAGGGACGAGGCTCGTCCCTAAAAAACAATGATTCGTCCTGAAATACTTCGTTTTAGGTAGGCCTACCTGTAACAAAATGGTTATTTTAATTGTTAAAAAATAATAAAATATTCTTTTTCCTTTATTACTTAATATTGCCAAAGTTTCTCTATGGGTTTAGCTTAGCACGGCAGAATATACTAGACTTATTTGGAATTACTCTTTTCTTTTTGTCAAAATTAATGTTTGACATTTCTGATAATATTTGGTTAAATTATTTACAAATAAAAATACCAAAGTAATGGGAATAATAATGGCATATTTGAGGTGTGAAAATAGCATTGTATAAAGACATTTTTTTTAAATTTACCTGCACTAGCAATACTAAAATAAATTATTACTTAAAAAGTATTTATTGCAAATAAATATACCTACAATGCAAAATACCAAAGGATAAATTTAAAGTTTTGTTGATAAAAATAATGTTTACATAATAATTAAGTCTACAGACCTACTATTTGAAGGTATAATTAAAAACAACAGGTATATTGAAGTTAATATTTTATAAACACTTATCTTATTTAAACATATTTTTTAAAGATCGTAACACACTTTTACAATATGGTAAACGAAAAATTATTTTGTAGGATCCAACAAGTGGATGGAGGGTTTTTCGAAAAGTTCGGTTCTCTGTTTAGAGAACAAGTGGAACTAACAGAAACGAAGGAAAAATTGGAAAAAGAAAAATGTGCGAAATTAGCAGCAGAAGTTATACCTTCAAAACTTGATTACGAACAAGAGGAAAATGAAATTTTACCGACAGTGGAAAGTGACTCGGAAAACGAAGGAAGTATGGTTTCTTCAGATTCTGATTTGGAGGAAAACAAAGACAAGAATGATTTAATTTTTACAGCCCTAAATGTAAGTATTGAAAATTAAGTTTAAAAATAAGGTTGTTTACAGATTTTCCTCCATTTGTAAATTCGTTAACTGACATACAGGGTCATCTATATTTTAATGCAAGTTTATTTTTAAATTGACCCATTTTATAAAATTTAAGTAATATGAAATCTTTCAAATGTTTATCATCAAAGTAAATAGTGGTAGGTAATGCACTGATATTTTGTTATTTAAAACACACACAGAAATGTATTATTTTTGAGCTACATACAGGGTGTCCCGGAAAATGTGGGAAATCTCTCGGATTCAGATAGAACATTAAAAAATAAGATGACAAGTTCCCATAAATTTTTTTCCTAGCGGCCCTCCCTACGGAGATACGGCCTCCTAAAGGACGCCACTGGAAATCAGATTTTCTTGAATAACTTTTAAACTACTTAATATAATTTAATGAAAATTTAATAGGATAAACAGTAGTAAGGACCTCTTAAAATACTGCCCTTAAAACATAATTAGCTTGTTTAGTTTACCAGGGGCGGACTAGGTTGTATATTTTAATGCTTACATTTTTAACACCCTGTATGATAGGGAGTTAAAAAAATAAATTTGGATACCTTGAACATTAAGCTAAAGAAAAGGTACTCTTGTTTATTGTCGATAAAATTAACCGTTTTCGAGAAAAAAAATAATTAAATAAATTTTGTCACCCCAAACAATATTTTCGATATAGATACTTTTCAAAAAAAAAAAGTCAATTTTTTTGGCCCAGTATATATATATAATATATTATATATTATATATTATATATATATACAATGTATATTATACATATATACAAGGTGTCCCTAAACTTAGTGGCATAAATTTAGGAGCAGATTAAGCAAGTCAAAATAAGACGAAAATCTAAATAAATATTTTTCCTAATTACGTATGTTTAAAAGTTACAGGGTGATAAAGTGTTACTTATCATATCAGTTTTTTTAATATAACTTTTTTTAATATAACTTAAGTTAGAATTCTACTATGGTAGACTTGGTAAGGTGATATTTTGCAAACAGTCACTTACTACCAAAACACATATTCACACATAATTACAATTGTTTGAGTGAACACAGTGTCGTAGAAACGGGGGTTGCTTTAAGCTTATTGTCCCATACAAACTTTGAGGTTAGGTTTTTGTAACATTTGATGCAATTTATTGATTAAACAGTTCGGCTACCATTAAAAAGGTGTACCTCTCAAACTTCGATAAAATAAACCGTTTCCGAGATATTTGAGATTACAATAATTGTTGTATCGCATTATTTAAAAGGATTAAAAGGTATATGATAACAAATTTTATTTTTTAATTGAAAAAACTAAAAAGGGCATTCCATGAGCCTCGGGACTTTTTGCCCTGACCGTCACATTAAAAAAAATGTAGTTTTTTCAATTAAATTTTTTTTTATCATATAACTTTTAGTCCTTTAATGCGATATAACAATTATTGTAATCTCGAATATCTCGAGAACGGTTAATTTTATCGAAGTTTGAAAGGTACACCTTTTTAATAGTAGCCGAACTGAGTAATCGAAAAATTGCATCAAATGGTATAAAAACCTAACCTCAAAGTTTGTATGGGACAATAAGATTAAGCAACCCCTGTTTCTACGACACTGTGTTCACTCAAACAATTGTAATTATGTGTGAATATGTGTTTTGGTATTAAGTGACTGTTCGCAAAATATCACCTTTCCAAGTCTACCATAGTAGAAGTTATATTAAAAAACTGATATGATAAGTAACACTTTATCACCCTGTATCTTTTAAACATACGTAATTAGGAAAAATATTTATTTAGATTTTCGTCTTATTTTGACTTGCTTAATCTGCTCCTAAATTTATGCCACTAAGTTTAGGGACACCTTGTATATTATAGTAAGGGAGATATACAGATGTATGGGTAATGACGAACTATTATTAGTAATCACTAATTACTATTAGTAATTACTAATTAGTTACAAGCATGTCTTACTTGATTATTCAAAGTATTAATTTTAAACACTTTAGGGTGTTCTTAATAGGAACCTAAACTACTCTTAAAAGTACTTAACCAATTAAAAATAAGCATATACCATATGTATCTCAAATTGACGACATAATATTATTCGAATAAAACATTTTTTTAGCATAGAGTTAATTTAAGAAATAAAATATTTTTAGATGATCTTTACAGGTGTGTTATAACTCGTTTTAAAAATAGAACAAAATAAGAAAAGCAATCATTGTTTTGTAATGACAAAGTCATGGGTATTTAACAATACCAACGTCACCTTTTTATTTATAAATTTTAAATAGTTTTTTAAAGAGTTTTAATAGCATATTGTTCAACGGTTGAGAAAGTTGGTAATTTCTCAAGAGTTTAGTGGAATTTTATACAATTACCACAAACACAGATTTAATGACAAATGTCAGTGTCAATTAATTTTTAAGAAAACAATGAACAACCGTATAATTCTCATAATAATGATTAATACTACCGTATGGACAGTAACCCGTGGAGAAAGATTCATTTTCTCAAGACGCTCATTTAAAAACGTATAAGAAATAAATAATTTTTTTAATATGATTAAAAAAAAAATTACGAATGCCAACGGTACCTTTTTTTTAAATAAATTTTAAATGAATAATTTTGAGGCTGTGTGGATTTTATTTTTAGAAAAGTATGCCAATTACTTTAAAAACACTTTCTATTTGGTTTTGGGTAAAGTGCTATAAAATTTTAATTACTTTAATCATATAAATTGAAAGATTTTTTATTTTTATTTTTTTAACAGGATACGTTAGAAATTTAAAAATAATATTACAATAATAGGATTTTCTTTTATTTTATACATGTTTTCATAAACATAATTATTTTTATAAATAAATGCATAATAACTAGCAGTCGGTATTAGGTAGGTAGATATGGAAGGGATGAGAATTTTAAATTATTATATATTTAAGATATTGACAATAGTGTTTTTATTTTGATTTTTATCCTATTTATTAAAAATTGTATTTATGTTTAAAAATATCCCAGAATTATATTTTAAAAAGGATTTTTAAACACCAACAAAATGAAAAAAGTGATTTTTAACTAAGGAATTTAGGATTTGAATTAAATAAAGGGCTTTAAGGATATTTTCTCTAAAAACACGTAAACTGAGATATAAGTTAAAGTATTTTTATCCAAAAATTTTATAAAGATTGGTAAAGGCGTTTTAGAGTTGGATTTTTGATGAACCAAATTAATAATTTATAAAAAAACAATAGTTTGAATAGTCAATCTAAAACTAAAGTTATTTTAAGAAACTTCTTAATTAAGAATATATGGTAGGTAAGATTTAAATAAATACAAAATTAAAGTTTTTTTTAAACGTTTAAAATTAAAAATTAAATAGGGAACATAATAATCATGGGTATGGCTTTTATTTATAGCAATTTTTGTTTTCACCGGAATTTTTTTTTTAGCGATAATGCTCTTTTTTTGTTAAATGCAGAGCAGGATTTACATTTTGTTGAATAGTATTCACATTGATTAAGTATTGACAAGTTTTTGCTCATTAATTTATATTAAACCGTAATTGCTATTTAAATTAATTATGTAAAATAATGTTATATTCCTTTTATTTACAAAAAAGCGTTTTATTATTCACCTTTAAAATTATTTGAAAAAATCTACCAATAAGACAAGTTGTGTGCCGTCTATGTTATTCTTAATTACGATGAAATGCTAAAATCGTTTGAATCGTGTGCTAAAATGATCAGCTTGAGCTTTATTAACGTAATAACGAATTTTATTGTTAATAAGACAAGAAATCGCATATTACCCTTGTTATTCTTACGGTACGGTAATATGCAAGAATGGCCTTTATTATTTTCACCCATTTGGTGCTAAATAATAAGGATGGTAGTCGGTTGCGCCACCCCACAACTTATCAAAAATAAAGCAAAAGTGCATTAGAGTATTACCGTTCCTGCGCCACTAGTATAGACATATCCTGGAAACAAACGAGTGTCGTTACATATCACTTTAGAAAATCCGAAAGAATCGTTGACTATAGTTAATGATATATTGGCGTAAAATAATATGCCAATATAAGACCAACCTTGGATAAACATTGGCAATGATATATTAAATTATCATTTTATGCCAATATAGGGCTAACGTCGGCTAAATAAATTCAATATTGGCCCTAATAAAATATTGGGCATAGACGCGCCCCATATAGTACCAATATTTTGTGCTACTAAGGATTTGTCGTAATAATGTATAATAATATAAATCTAAATCACAATACTTAAATAGGTTAAACATGAATATTGAACCAAAAATATAGATGGACGCCTCGCATAAGCCGTCACTGACTAAAAATTAACTACTTATGTAATAAATGCCGGCAGACTTTGGCACGGTTCTGGGAAACCAAAAATATATCAAAAATAAAGCAAAAGTGCATTAGAGTATTAATCTATATCAATTCAATTGCCATGCGGTTTTCCGTTATCAATTCATTAAGACCGAAGTCGTGGTGCAAAATTATTACAGAATCGCTATCATCGTCTATCCCACGCAACCAAACGAAACCGAAATAGATTTGGCACATTGGCTATATACGATCAGTCAGCTCTATCTACCCCGATACAAACGCTCAGGTTTTAAAAGTTACCTTCGCAAAAAATGTGCAGTCTACCATAATTTGAAAAATAATTTTAAATTAATATAAATTAATAATGATTCGGGGTTGTGTTTCGGAAAGTTATCTGAACGGCGATGCGAATCATCGACCCAAAGTGCCCGTAAGGAAAAAATCCATACCCAGAAACTACTTTCGAGGTATCAAAAAAGACGAGTTGCAAAGACAAACAAGCATGTACTTGGCGTCCATGACAGTGAGTGTCCTCTTTATCCCACATAACATTTATTTTTAAATGTAAATATTTACTAGCTTGTTTTTTGCGCCAAATTTAATTGCATCAAACATTATTTTTATGAAAAATAATCAATAGCAATGTGTACTATTTAGTTTTAATCGATATTTTTAACAGACAAGGTCCAGTTTATTACAAGTCAATCATTGTAACAAAATTGAAAATCAAATAGGTATAACTTTTTAATAATATAATTATTATTTTCAGTGTTGCTAATTATTAAATTAAAAATACTCTGTAAACCTTTTATTTTGACGTACCCAAAAAATATTTAAAAAGTAGTTTTAGCTTAGCTATAATTGCAAACATGCAAAACCTGATAAATCCACTTTTACATTTTAAGAGTAACTGATTCTTACTAATCTTGGTAAACTCTTCTGCTGTACTTACACATTTTTGGCCAATATCTTAGAATAAGTTAAAGTAGCTTTTGCCTATTTGCTTTACAATTGTTAAAAGTAAAGTAAAAAACATTAGCAAACCAAGTTTTGAGATTTTTTAAAAGCTTGTATTAAAAACTCTATACCATGGTATAGAGTTTTTAATACAAGCTTATTATTATTTTATTATCTTGCAAGATAATAAAATAATAATTAAAAATGTAATGTGTTATAACCCCCTCTGGGCTGGTATGATGTTTTGAGTTTTTTATTTCCTCTAAATCATAATAAAAATAATTTTTAATTATAATTATATCGTGCTCGGATTTTAACATAATGTCAAATATATACCTAGTACCTAAACTATGTCAAATTTTAGAATAGTCGGTTCATTTCTATTAAAATATCATCATAAGCAGTTAATTTTATTTATTTTTTATTTATATTTTGAACTTGTTTTGCCATAGGTGATATTGTAAATATGATAGATAGACTTCTTTTATTCTATTAACCTTATTTATATTTTTTCTCTTACATTAACTTTTCTCATCTTGTAATTGGTCTAATGACTGTTAGATAATGTATGTAAATAAATAAATAAAATAAGCATAATTTGTTGGTCAATTGTTAATATTAATTATTTAGTATATATTTTTGAAAACAAAACAAAAAACATTTTAATATTTAAAAATACAATTGAAAACAAAACATGTTTTTTTGCAACTTTTGCCGATTGTTTTTGAATTTATTTTAATTTTTAAAAAATAACTCAAAGTTCTTTTTTAACATTTTTGTCATTTTATTTAAAACATGATATTGTAGCCTCAGGTACAAGCATGTATTTATTTTTTGAATCAATAATAATTTCAAAGAAATATATTTCTGGTTATAACACTTTAAGGCATTCCTAACTGCATTGTCATTTGTTCTGCAAAAGTGACAACCCAATTTAAATAAAACTTAAAAGAATTATCTTAAAAACAATATCTATTTTAGATCGAAGAACTTTACGCTGAAATCTTGTACGAAATCCTTCACAATGTTGGATGTGATGTCAGCTACGAAATTGGCCAAACCACATTATTTTCATACGCGCAGGACGCGTTTAAAATATCCAATGACAAACACAACCATTTGTTGGATATGGCGGAAAGGAAAGAACCGCCAGAATTATTGTTAAACGTAGAAATAATCGAGGCAAAGGATTTAAGATCCAAGGATTCCAATGGGATGAGCGATCCTTTCGTTACCTTGTACTTAAATTCGAATAATACGCACAGATACAACACCTCAGTGAAACAGACTACTTTGAATCCTACCTGGGAAGAACATTTCGCCTTGTAAGTAATCTTATTCTACATTGTGTCTTGATATAAATATGCAAGGAGCACTTTTTATTTTGAGCTTAATTTTTTAATTTTATATTAGTTCAATCCAACCGGCATATCAAAGTCAAATTGTTGTTGTCATTCTACATCCCACACTATGAATGAACTTTATAACATTTTTAGACCTATTGCCGACCAAAACTCTGAAGACATGTTAATTCTGGAAGTGTGGGATTTCGATCCAGCCGAAACAGTAAAAGAAAAGTTTGGAAAGTTATTCGAAGTAAAAGGAGTAAAAGGTATGAGAAAACTTGTAAAAGAAATCGCTTTAACTGCCACAAATGGTCAACATGAAAATGAACTTATTGGAATTGCAAAAATTCCCTTAAAAGTAAGTTTCAAAAACCTGAACCCCAAAAAAACTAAACATTTTTTTAAAAACTAATTTTAGACAGTTCCTGCTTCTGGTATGACAATGTGGTACAGTTTGGACAAAAAAAATAAAGTAAGTCGTCAGGGTGTACTTAAAGTTCGAGTTTCGTTTAGTTCCGAAAAGAATAATCAAGTAGCGGAGCAAGAACTCAGGCATATGCTTCGGATTATTTTGCTGCACGAATTGGAAACATCAAAGGTGGCTCCTTATTGGTGGTGCGGCATGTTTAGTCCACAGGCCAACTGTCTCCTGACCCAACACATCGCCCAATCAGGATTGACACCTACGGAAGTTTCGGTTTGTCAATACTGCGTTTTTGCCTTAATTCATCAAAGTCACGCGCTGAGTTTTGCGTTGTTTTCCAAACTCTTGGCTGGTATAGTGAAGCCATTGCAGAACAACCAGATTTGCGAGGATGATGTCAAGTTGTTTTGGAACGCGACAAAGAAATTGCTTCCGTCTTGTTTCAGTATTATCCGTAAAATTAGAAAGAAGACTTCTAATGAGAAAGCCACGATGAAGCAAGTCACGGAAGTACTGAAAATACTTAACTACATTTTACAATTGGATCTGCCACCTAACACAGATTTGTTTCCGTTAAACATATATAAGTGGAAAACTTATACAGGCGATGGGCCTAATTGTGATATATTTGGTACCATCAACGATGCCGTGGTGCAAGGAGCTAGCGACTGGATGAATTACATATTAGAAAACAACAATTCCCGTGACGAAAGCGACGTTGGCCGACTCACGTACTACATTCAACTAATCCAACTCATCAAGACTGATATACAAAAGTCCATCGAGTATTACGACAAACTGTTCCAAGAAACCGTCAACTTCCAGTACGCGAAATCACTGTACATTTTCTACCAGGCGAAAGTGTCCACGTTGTGCGAACCAGAGGTGACGAACATATGCAAGAATCTCAAAAGACTGACATTCAACGGCAAAACTTCCACGCTAATGACGACTGAAGATAGCAAGGAACCTCTATCAGCCGGCACTAGCCTGTTCGAGCTTTATTTGGCGGTTCAAAGATTCGTGGTATTGGGCACCGGGTTGTGCCCGGCTGACTGTGATAATTTCCATATTAAAAATTTCCATCAGTGGTTCCATGGAGGGGTGGCTCAATGGTTGGATATTGCCGTTTACAAGGCCCTTCAAAGAATAGAGAAAGCTGTAGAGTTGGATAAACTTACGCAAGTGGATAACACCGTCAAGTACAGTTCTTCTGCAGTTGATACCCTTTCCATATTTTATCAAGTTAAAGTGTTCTGGCAACAACTGAACTGGCCAGATGTGGAGAGCTCTTACACTTTTATTGCAAAAATTATAGATGTATGTAAAATCTTTAATTACTTATTATAATGTAATAATCATATTACGATCTTTTAGGATATTTGTCGTTGTTCGGTATTTTACGCTGACCAAATGTCAGCTAAAGTGGATGGTATGGGAGATCATGAGAATGTTTACGAAAAAAAGTTCGAAGTTACAAACGAATGGTGTCTTGCTATAAACAATATAGATTACGTTCGAGAAACATTGGAGCCTTTCACTCAGGATTTAGGAATGACCGATATTATTGCAAAAATTACGGACCTTAAGAGCCCAGTTGATGCACAAAGGTGTCAGCATACACTGGATAATGTAATTGCTAACGCAATAGATACAGTAAGGAATAAAATAATAGAATTATTGGAAATTGTTGTTAACAAGGTAATATTTTAAAATTTTAACCAGTTTTTGGAAATACTTACAATTAATATTTGTTTTAAGATGGCACCGTCAATGAAGAGACTTTTAATTGAAGGTGCCGAGTTATGTAATCAAGACAGTAACAGTATTGACAGGCTTATGATGTATGTGGACAATAATTTAAGTACCTTACATAGAGAATTAAATGAAGAAAACTTTAATAGAACGTTATCCATAGTATGGGAGATGTTGGGAGCTACCTTGGAGGAAATCATACAATGTAACTTGGACGTAAGTTCACATTCTTTTTAATGGTACTAAAACTAACCCCGGCGCATTCGCCATTTTTGCAATAAATAAATTATAAAAATAGTATACTATACTCTATATTTTAGAAACGAAGGCCTCCTTCCTTCTTTGACAACCTGCACAAAACCTTGAACCTGATGTTAGGTTCATTCAAAAGTCCAAACGACTGTTCAAACTGTGATGCTTTAAGTAGAACCGAACGATTATTAAAAATAAACGGCTTGGAAACCAACGATCTCATACACGAAGTGCATTTGGAGATGGCTAGAAATTTCGCCAAAGAAAAAGAATCATCTTATGGCGAGATATCGGTTAAAGTTAAATTCGAAGGAAGTGCCATCAAAGTCGAGGTTATGAATGCAAGAAATTTAATTGCTATGGATTCCAATGGATCCTGCGATTCTTTTGTTAGGATTCATGTTTTGCCCGAGCATAAATTTAGCGCTATTGATAAACCAAAGACTAAAACGCACAACAAAACGCAATTTCCTTTGTATGATGAAGCATTTGTAATGTAAGATATTTCATTATTTTTATATTGTGCGGGCTTGTAATATATTTTTTTTAGAAATATTACGCACGAACAAAAAGCAATAAAAGATGGATTAATATTGTTCAGCGTCAAAGATAAGGATTTGCTTGGTTACAACAATCAATACATTGGAGAAGCATTTTTGCCATTCAGTGAAATACCTGAAACTAATAAGCCCTTAAGTTCCCTGCCACAAGTCCACTTGCAACTTGGTAGACCTACTAGCTTATGTAAGTTATTAATTACCCACACACACTTTAAATAGGTATATTAATCATATTTTTCAGCTTCTGATTGTATTAGAGCATTGGAACACAGGCAAGGTGATAAGTTGGCCAAAGAATTCCTTAAAAAATACAAACAAAGAATGGGATCATAGACTGTTAAAATGAGAATAAAAGTGAATTTATTATAAACTAAGCAATAAAATATGTACAAAATGTAACCAATTATTGTCCATTTTGGTAACCTTTGTTTCCCAATACATTTTAAAACTTTTTCAGTATTGTATACTTTTTTTAAATCACGTTACAGATTTTTTGCCTACATTTTTCCGCATCTTTCAATGGTAAACAGGATTAAGTACAGGCTTCCCAGATAGCACAAATACATCCTAAGGACGTCCTTAGGACGTCTAAGTGGGCATCTGGGATGTCCTGAGGATATCAGCAAATGGCTATAGGTCGTCTATTAGAAGTCCACAGACTTCCAAAAGGACACTTTATGATTTTTTTAAATTTTTGAAATAAATCCTTTTTGTGCATTATGTTTTTTACTATATAAAAAAGTGATATTTGGTAACCCTGTATTCTCGTAGTCTCGTTAACAATATACTCCAATACAAATCGGTGTACATACAAATGTGTACTCTGGCAAAGGTAGACTTTTCGATAAACAAATAATTTAAAAAAAAATTAATTTTTTACAAATTTAAAAAAAAGCAGTTAGAATTTTGGTAAATATCGTTTTTAAATCACCAAAGAGTGCCGATTAAAAAACTTCAACCAGTTTTTCGTTCAAAATTGAAAACTACTAAAAAGCCTAAATTAAACAAAATTTTAAATATTTTCTAAGCGATATTTTATTTAATTTTATTAAAAATCTATTTTTATTGTAAAAAGTTAATAAGAATTCCATTTTGAAATATCAATAAAAAATTGGGGATAAATCTTTTTTGCGTGTTTGGTATGCCAAAACCATGAATTTGCGCTTTTGCTTTATTAAAATTAAGTGATTTTTGGCTAACCCTGTATACATCAAATGATGTGAACAGTATTAAATCTCCTTAATAATATATTGCAATGTTATAAAAATCGGTGTACAAATGTATACTCTGTCAAAGGTAGACTTTTAGATAAACAAAAATTTAAAAAAAAATCATGAATTTTCAAAAAGAGGAGCAGCTCGGATTTTTATTTAAGTCACCAAATGGTCCCGAACAAAAAACTGCAATCAGTTTTTGGTGGCATTTTTATGTGAGCACAGCTTTCCGTTAAAACGTTAGAACCATAGAAAAAGGATATAGAACCACAGTGGTCTGTGGTTAGAACGGACGAGCTAGCAGCGCCGCGTACTGATCAAGCGCACATTGGGACAAAATATTTAATATCTCCGGAATGACATATGAAAGACAAATTTTTGAGTACATCTTATTAAACGGAAACGTTTTCCGAATATTATGACACAAGATTATTTTTTTTTCAGCGTAAAGAAAACATAAAAAATTTCAATTGTTTATAATGAATGTATGCAAAATTCTTTTATTTAAACAAATTTACCTTAATTAAATGATCACTCTATAGTCTATACATTGCTACAATAGTGTGTAAAATTTAATTCAATTATACAGAGTGGTCCCAGAGATTCTATTTTTTCAATTTTACCGTGCTCCAAAGTTTTACAAAATTATTAACTTTAATAACCGAATTTCAAAACAATTTTTTTACTGTGACATACCTATGTATGCGTCATGCCTACTACACAATAATGTGATTATTTTCAAAATCGGTGATTTCGTGAAATTTTTCTGGTCCCACTTAAGTGAGAGTCAAGCCACGTCAAGCTTGACGTGGCTTGACTCTCATGTTAGTGAATTGGCACGTCAAGAAAATCACGTCATGACTTTTTATGATAATCATGATATTGTGCAATATATATTGTTAGGTATCTTGGTATTTATGAAAATTGTAGGTATTATAATATATTGTAGGTATACAGGGCGATTCCATGATTACTAACGGGACAAAAAGAAACGAGACAAAATGTTTTATGAATATTTTTGAACATATATGTTGTTCCTATAACAATAATTTTATGATAATTATTATTACTTAAATTTTTTGCTGAGAACTTTCATAAAATTATTATTATAGGAACACATCTTCAAAAATTTTCATAAAACATTTTGTTCTCTTTTTGTTGGTCCCGTTAGTAATTATGGAATCGCCCTACACTCATAACTATGTATATTTAATTTATATTAAACGTTTTATAAAGTTAATATTTATAACTATATATAGGTACTTATATATACATTTATTTTAATAAGGATTTAAATTTTAATATTTGTTTTATTGCCTTCTTCCACCCTGGCCTGCACCCTGGGCCATGGGTAATAAAAATGTAGACACTTATATTTTTAAATTTATTTTTGTGAATTATTTTAAGAAATGTGTTTTAATGCCATTGGTTCAAGGACTCAAGCAATCGTTGGCACATAATAAAACAACATATTTTTAACTCAAGGCGCAACATTAATGAATGTTTAGACTGTAGGTCATTAACGAAATTAAAGGAATAATAAAACATAATAAATCATTTCACTTAAAATTAAAAATATCATTATAAAATGCGTTTTATTCAACCAAAAAATTTGAATAGGTATATTCTCTAGTTTATTAGAAAAAATATTCACATAGGCAACGTTGTAAGATTTAAATGTCATTGGCAATCCTGTAAGTTATATATTGAGGTTATGTGTATGTCAACTTATTTATTTTGCTAGTGTCAATAAATTCCGACATGGAAAATAAAGAAGAAATTGATGAAACCGAAGAAAAGCCTTCGGAACCTTTCAAAAAACCGATTTTAATCGGCAAAGTTGGTCGTTTGCCCAAGAAGATAACTGAAAAGCATGAAATAACAAATGTACCAGAAATCAATGAAGAAATTACTGAAAAATTAGAGCCAAGTAGCGAACTGGGTTTGTACTTACTTTCCAATTACTATAATAAATGTTTTTATCTTCTAAGATAATATAATATCAATATTATTAGCATCAATGCAGCCCAGTTATTCATTATTGTATAATATTAACCACAGATAACAATTAATACAATATTAACCCTGGTACAATAATGTGATACATGAGCGTGGACAATAAAAATTTTTTTTTACCATTTTATTCATATTATTATTATTAATCTATGATCTCTGCCTATGCCTTTAGAGAAGTTTTTTAGTTTTTGTTAGAAAATACGATCCTGTTTTTGCCTAGAGATACAATAGTATAATATATTATATAAGTAATACAGAGGGTAAGGTCTTTTTGTGCTTCATTCATATTATCTCCATCTATGCCTCCAGAGAGCATCTAACAGGCTTACATTCAAGCCTGTTCCTGGGGTCTCTGGCGCCCAGAGCCGTACCGAGGCACACTTTTTTGGGGGGGGGGCGGAGACGATAAAAAACCAACTTATTTTTTTATACAGTATGTCCATGGATAGAGGGCCCAAGAGGACAAATGGACTAAAATTTTCATTTTTTGACCAAAAGTCATTTCTTATAAAAAGTTCTGCTTGTTTAAAAAAGTCTATTGCCATACTTTAAATTTGAAAATATTATACAGGGGGGTCAAAAAACAAGAAAACATGAAATACTCTCAGGAGTAAACTACCTACCTTTATTTTTCGTTTTGGAGCAAAATGACAAATAAAAAAAAGATTTCAAATTGTATCCAAAGACCATTTGTAAAATTTTAACTTGGTATTCGGAAAAATAAAATTTGGAATATTGTTTCAAATTTTATTTTTCTTAGTTTTAAAATTTAATTTCATATTTACAAAAATGACACAATCAATTGTTAACAATAATCAATTGTTAACAATAATCAAGTAACGTCAAATTGACAATTTGCATTCTATCACAAAATGTCCGGGTTAAGAACCCTATACATAGGTAAAGGATACGTGAAATGAGGTACAAAAGTATAAATTAGAAATTAAATTTTAAAACTATATAAGAAAAAGAAAATTTGGAATACTGAGTTAAAATTTTACAATTAGTCTTTGGATAGGATATCCTAATAATATTATTTGTCATTTTGCTCCAAAACGAAAAATAAAGGTAGTTTATTCCTGAGAGTATTTCATGTTTTCTTGTTTTTCGACCCCCGTATAAAATTTTCTAAAAGTATAGTAATAGACTTTTAAAAACAAGCAGAACTTTTTATGAAGAATGACTTTTGGTCCATTTGTCCTCTTGGGCCCTCTAGTATAAAAAGTATACGCTATAAATATAAAAAATGGAACCTACTAGGTAGGTAAATCAAAAAAAATAAAATCCAAATTTAATCTACTAGGTTAAACCTAAAAAATACAATTTTATTTACGGTAACAATTATAGGAGGTTACAATAGGTTAAAAATTATAATATTGTAAATTACAATTCCTATTATTTATGGTTTAAAAATTATATATTATTTATTGTGATGAGTAGGTTGGTAGGGTAGGTAAACCCTACCAACCTACCCAAATAGATTTTGCAAACCGTGTTTGGATTTGGAACCAACTGCCTAGATTTTGGGGGGGGCGACTCCCCCCCTACACCCCCCTTAGGTCCGGCCCTGCTGGCGCCTACATGCAGCATTCTTTGATGCGCCCCTTTTATGGTAGTAGTAGTAAATATATTTAGTAGAAAAAGCAAAAGGCTTTCAACCGAAGTCTTTCTGACTATATAAATTAGGGTGCTCTATTTTTTTTTTGCGCTTACATGAAAATTTTGTTCCTTTTATCGAACAAAAAATTCCCTGAAAATTTGAGGCCTTAATTTTAATTTTAAGTGGTTCCTTTCGATTAATGTATATTTCCCCTTTTAATAACATGTAAATCATGATTTTTTAAATTTAAATTAATATAGCTACATTTGATTTCATGGTATTTCATTGCGATTAGTCAGAATTTGTAGTATATTAGTGACTCTTTGAAAGTGCCCACTAACATTTTTTTGTATTTGAACCCATCTCATAGGTGTCGACCTCGAAAGCCCAATTTTCTCAAAAATTGTTATATGTTCGATCTTATCAACAAAACTGTTGAAGTTATAAAAAAATTGTCAGAGAACAATTATTGTTCTCTGACAATTTTTTCCTGAAATAGAAATAGAAGGCATCCAAAAAAAAAGGAAATTTACAGTAAAATCCCTGTGGAAAATTATTTTGGAACAGATAGATTAATATCAATAATTGTTTTTTTTTAAGATAATTAAGTTTATATACCTAGTTTATACCTTTTGGACTATGCACCTCAGAAAATCCATACAGGGGTATAATACCCCTGTATGGATTTTCTGAGGTGCATAGTCCAAAAGGTATAAACTAGGTATATACTTGTATTAATTATCTTAAAAAAAACAATTATTGATATTAATCTATCTGTTCCAAAATAATTTTCCACAGGGATAAAATTAAATTAGGCACTTCCCTGCTGTAAATTTTTTATTTTATTTTAATAACCGACCGGTTTCGCCTTACGATTTAGCCACTGAATGCTAGCTCCAGGTATTGATGGATCTTGGTTAGTTAGATATTGAGTGCCTTCTCTAGGTTCAGTAGGTGTGCCAGAGTGGCTGCCACTCTGGCACACCTACTGAACCTAGAGAAGGCACTCAATATCTAACTAACCAAGATCCATCAATACCTGGAGCTAGCATTCAATCTTAGATTCTTATATTCAAACATCAATAGTTTTAACAGGAAAAATCCATTAATCTATAATTACTTACAAAAAAATAATATACAATGCTCTTTGTTTGTGGAAACTATATTAAAGGAAGACATCAGTCCATTTAGAGATTGGTTCATTATTCAAAAAAAGGTAATATACTTTATACTAACGTGAGAGGTGGCAGTCTTATTATGGCATCAAGAAGCTCGAAACTTGGCAAACAAAACCCACCAACAATCCTATGAATGAAACTCTTCATGTCTCCCTTCCCTTTTTCACAGATAAACTGCATATTTTTCTGGTATATATACACCCACATTGCGTAATTGAAGATACCATCTTTGTTAAAGCCTCTCAGTGCAAATATGCCATTATATGTATAATACCCCTGTATGGATTTTCTGAGGTGCATAGTCCAAAAGGTATAAACTAGGTATATACTCGTATTAATTATCTTAAAAAAAACAATTATTGATATTAATCTGTCTGTTCCAAAATAATTTTCCACAGGGATTTCACTGGAAATTTCCTTTTTTTTGGGATGACTTCTATTTCAGGAAAAATAAAGGGTTCCATTATTTCAAGGTTTGTACTTGTATTGCAGAATTTCTCAGAGAGGTTACATATTCTTTCTATAATGGGTGTCATGTTGGTTCTTTTATACAAAAGCAGATTTGAGGGGTTGAATAAAGGGTTTCTTGGATGTCTAATTTTGGTTAGATGCCGAATGCTTGTTGTTTCTGCAGTCTCCAGGTTTTTTAGGGAAGGTCTTCTGCAGGTTTGAAATATTATGGAACTGTAGTCCAACAGTGGCCGACACAGTGGCGTAACTACCACCGGTCCTACCGGTTTCAGAGCACCAGGGGGCCCCCAGAAGTGGCAAGAGAAATTTTTTTTATCTAAATATAAGAAAAATGTTCAATATGAAAAAATAAAAATTTTGCTTTTTTGTAGTAATAAATATTCGTTGCCTGCTTAATATTATATTATATTGTGTTCTTTTTTTTTCAAATTTCTGAACTCAAAATTTGGAATTAAATATTTTAAAATAAACATAGGTTAATTGTGAATTTAAAATTACAAATCTAGAATCATAAACTCGAAATCGAATACTTCGCATCGAAAGTCTGAAATTTTGAATAGGAAATATACATTCTTAGTCAAAAATAGAAATTCAGAGATGAAAAAATGAAAAATTTGCAATCTAAAATAAGAAATTTTTGATTTCACATTTACAATTTTGGATAAAAAAATCAAGATTCAAAGTCTTAAATTCGAAATCTTATTTATAATATAGCATGAATAGTAGTACCATAAATTAATATAGCATACATATATGTTTGCAATGAGACAGTTTGAAATATTAGAATAAAAATATTCTTTGAAACGTAGATCTGATTTAAGTATTATACCATAAAAATAAAATGTGATCCCTTCGAAATCCTGAGCCATGAATATTATTGTGTAAGGCGGGGGGGTGTTTGGAGTGAGAAAAGTTTAAATTTTTTCTGGTAAGGGCGCCATAGTGAAAATCCGACTGGGGCCCCCATTTCTATAGTTACGCCACTGGGCCGACAGATCATTTTGTATATGGTGGTGGCTGCAAACCAATTAGATATCATGGTAATTGACGATTGCAGGTTATTGAGAGCTGTTGAGAGGGATTTGTGGTGGGCTATTAAGGCTGTGTCATCAGCGTATTGCAGTATGTAAGTTTTTTGGGGCAGATAGTTGACATCTATTATATTGTAAACTAATAAATTGAAGAGTGTTGGAGATAATGGGGAGCCTTAAGGAACTCCTTGGGCCATTGAAAAAGATGTTGAAATGAATTTGTTTATTTTTACATTAAGAGATCGGTGTTCCAAGAGGTTTTTAAATTAGCCACATTAGATATTCTGGGAGGTCCAGAGTTTATATAACAAGCCTCTATGCCACACACTATCAAAATCTTTGCTAATGTAAAGGAAAAGAGCTGTCGAGTGGTGTCCTATTATGCTGTGTTGCTGCAGATTTGAGAGCAGGGTAATTAGCTGATGTATTGTTGAGTGTTTTTCTCTAAAACCAAATTGGTACGGCGGAATCCTATCGCCGATCTCCTGGAGTAGATGATTTTTAATAGTTTTTACCAATCACAGGTAGAAGAGTGATTGGTCTGTAATCACTTGGTGTTGAAGAAGATGTAGGTTTGGGAATAGTTATGATAATGCCCTCTTTCCATATTGACGGGAAGTAATGGTGTTTTAGTTGTAAACTTTTAAGATGTATTCATGAATTTCTGGCACAAGATTTCTCAAGATTTTTCTGTTAACATAGCCATGTCCTGGGGCCGATTTGTTTCCTTCTTGTAGAACTTTATATTATTCTGTTTCGCTTATAGTGGGAGTGCTTAAGTTGACGTTTTGTATCTTAAAGAAATTGCTGTACCAGACATTGATGTTGTTAAGATACGTATCATCAAATTTGGGATAATCTAAAAATTTATAGCTATTTTCAAAATAAAATTTAAGAAGGCTGTGGCTATATCTTTATATAATGTTAGTGTTTGCTTGTTTTTAATAATTTTGTGATATTGGGGACAGTTTTCATATTTTGAAAGTTTCTTAATCTCCTTCCAATAGTTTTTTCCTCGTAGGTCATTAATGTTTTTACAAGCCTTAAGCCATTTATGTGTTTTGTATTGGGCAACCATATTGTGGACTAACTTATTATATTAGTTGAAGATAGTTTTTAATTGAGGATCATTATTTTGTATAATTTCTCTGTACAGTTTTCTTTTCGTTTTCAGCATTGCAAGAATGTATGGTGGAAGATTTTAGTTAAAATATGATCTTTTTATTTTGGGTGTGTTATTTATAACGCTCTTTTTCAGTTGTACTAGAAAATTTTTAATAATAATATTTTGTCAAATGATCCTGCCAAAGAGCAACAATTTAATAGTTCCATGTTTACTTTTTCAAAATTGCATCTATCAAAGTTCAGGAAGTACTCTGGAATGGAAGCTGTTGGAAGTTAATGGCTGATAATTTCAAATTGAATGGCTAAATGATCAGTACATAAGTCTGGGAGAACAGATATGTTTTTTTATATTGTTTACTATGTTTTTTGTACAGAGAAGAATATCTGGCGTGGAGTCGGGGTTATTGGCCATAATGAAAGTGGGAGGAGTTTTTTGTTGTTCAAAATTGGAATTATTTAAAAAGTTAGATATTTATTTTTTCTTTTGATGATTTACATTAAAATCTCAAATTATAGTGGCATATTTGCACTGAGAGGCTTTAACAAAGATGGTATCTTCAATTACGCAATGTGGGTGTATACAGGGTGTTTCAATAAAAACTCCCAGGCCAATTATTTCGAAAACTAAAAGTGACATTTAAATTCTGTAAACGTCAGTTTTTAGCCTCTATGATTGGCTTCACAACTGTGTAAAAAATGTTATGGAATAATACAAGATCTAGGTTTCGCCACAATGCAAAGAATTTTTTCGATGGCAGGTACTTGTAAATTAATTTTTGATTAAATTATGTCCCATACATTAATGGTTTTTTCCTGTTAAAACTATTGATGTTTGAATATAAGAATTTAAGATTGAATGCTAGCTCCAGGTATTGATGGATCTTGGTTAGTTAGATATTGAGTGCCTTCTCTAGGTTCAGTAGGTGTGCCAGAGTGGCTAAATCGTAAGGCGAAACCGGTCGGTTATTAAAATAAAATAAAAAATTTAAATTTTATTTACAATATTAAAATCCCACTGCTAAAATGGATTATACAATTAAACGTAAAAGATTTGATTCTCCAAAATTGTTTTTACTCTATTAATGAATTTATGAACTTTTAATTTGTCAGTGTAGGTATTTAACTTAATATTTTTAATGATTTTAAATAATGTATTTTAATCTTAATTTTACGATTATATATGTATGTAGGTATATTATTAATTTAGTTGTCGATATCATTATAATGATCTTATGGCAATAAAACTATTATTATTATTATTATAAAAGGCGGCAGCCTTTATCCTATGTATGTTTAAGTATTTGTTTATTTGCAAGAACTTTTATCGTTACAAAGTACTGATTGACCCTTTGATTTAGCACCCCCAAAATGTTGCGCCTGCGGGCGTGCACACACTGTAAGCTCGCCAGGAACGGCCCTGCTTACATTGACGGACTGTCATTCATAAGTTAATGTTTTCTAATTTTTGTTAGAAGATAAAAGGACTCATACCTCTAATGGCATAATGTTCTATTATCTTTAATCGGTTTATAAATTAAACGATAAAGTGATGAGTGTACCTAGGGACTTAAAAATGATTTAGACCAATCAGGTTAGGATTTAGACCAATCGAGTTTGGTTTATATATACGGTGTATAATATACCATAGTATTGTATAGATTAGGGTGTGTCATTTTTGAGCAAATTTTTTTTTCAACTAAAAAACAGGCTAAAAACTTTCAGGAAGGTGAAAAAAGAAGCCTCTAAAAATTTGTGCTCTTAATAATAACATTAAGTGGTGCCTGTTCCTAACTTTCCATTTTCCATTTAAATAACATGGAAAAAAAATTTCTTTTTTCTTATTTTTGTATCTTGACATTTAAGCATTATAAAAACGAACTGAAAAATTATTTTGGTAGAAAATTGAACGCTCTACAAAAAAGTACTAATTTATTTTTTCATAGAGTAAGCCGTTCTGAAGGTATTCAAACTTGCAAATGTATGAAATTATGACTTAGGTATTTTATTAAACTAGGTAATACTTTTTTTGTCTTAAAAATTATTTTAAGAAAAAATAATAATTTTTTTTGTCTTAAAAATTATTTTAAGAAAAAATAATTATTTTCGTATAGAAAAAAAATAACACTTACATCTCAATTTTTTTTTCCATTTTATTTTATTTACTATCAAAAAAAGTTATTTGTGTTCAATAAATGTGTTCAACAATAATTATTATAATAGATTAAATAAAACGAAATGTTAAAGGCAACTTTAAGTTTGAATACCTTCAGAACAGCTTACTAAATATATTGAAACTTTTTTGTAGAGCGTTCAATTTCCTACCAAAATAATTTTTCAGTTCGTTTTTACAATGCTCAAATGTCAAGCTACAAAAATAAGATAAAAGAAAAAAAAATTTTCCATGTTATTTAAATGGAAAATGGAAAGTAGGAACAGGCACCACTTAATGTTAATATTAAGAGCTCAAATTTTTAGAGGTTTCTTTTTTCACCTTCCTGAAAGTTTTTAGCCTGTTTTTTAGTTGAAAAAAAAAAGTTGCTTAAAAATGACACACCCTAGTACAGATAGTATAGATACATATTATTTAAATTGTAAACGGGCAGAAGGTCGATATTATAATAGTACCTACATAATATTTTGATGTATTGTTTAACAAATACAATTGAAGGGGTTAGAATAGAAAGGGTATAAGTGCAATTTCTTTAATTTAGGAGATAAGTTCGTTTTGTGAAAGATAAGGTTCCGACGTATCGAAATGAAAAGGATTTAAGTAATTTTCATACTTCTAGGGACCTCTATTATCCAGTAGAAAAACATTACTAAACAAAATTCCTCACTTTTTTATGGTAACATAACTTTAACTTCAAATATCTCCAAAAAATGAAAATGTTACTTATACCCTTTTTATTCTAACCCCTTCAATTGTTCCTTAAAGATAAATGTTATATGCCATTTGGCCAAGAACTGTCTTTTTGTGCTGAGCTCAACTTTAAGCTCAGCCCAAGGCTAAGGCCTAATGAGTCATTAGTAATGACATACATAACTACACTGAGCGGCAAAATTATTGCATCACTTAAAACACGACGATTTCCGGCTTTGTTGTTTTAAATAGATCAGCATAGTGTAGAAGGGGTATCTACCAAATTTTGGAGTTGGCTATTAATATCTGCTCTCCTGAATTTGGCACATAACCCTTTCACACTAGTCAGTGCTTGATCTATTTGAAACATAACATGCAATAATTTTGCCGGTCAGTGTATTATTGTGCTACCTTTTAGTTGTTAAAACACCAGCTGAACAAATAAATGAAAACAACATTCCTATTCCATACAAAGAACCATCTTGGTCTGGATTACCTACAGATGTTCAAAGTGATTACAAATTCGAGATTTTAAAAAATGGCATAATAATTGAAACAGTTAATTTAATGGAGAAGCCCTATTGGGTTATGGGTCGTTTGGGTACTTGCGATATATTAATGCAGCATCCAACAATTTCACGGTTTGTATACAAAATTTATTCAATATATTTATTACAATGTATAACAATGTTACTTGTAGGTTTCATGCTGTGATTCAATACAAAAGTACAGCTTCAGACAAAGAGGGGGTTGGCTTTTATATTTACGATTTGGGCAGTACACATGGCACGTTTTTAAACAAAAATAAACTAAAACCCAGAGTTTATGTTAGAATACAGGTGAGTCGTTTGTGATCTCAGCAGGTTATTCAATTTTTTGTGAACTATACGATCCACTTTCAATTTCTTGCAAGGTGTTAATAACTTTTTCAAATGCAGATTTATAGTCCTTTGAAACATCTTCTTGCTTTTCTCTTTGCGATTTTACTTTGTGTTGTAAATTTTCAATTTTTTTCCTTATCTCTTCCATACTTGCTTTCATGTCCTGTTTGCTTTGATTTGTATACCTTTCGTCCATTGTTAAAGACTTATTCATGTCCATTAAACTTCTTTGATAAGAAAACTTTATGTTTTCGATATTTTTCTTAATTCTTAGCAAATAATCCGAACTTGTACTTAATCTTTCTTTTAAATCCGCAAATTCCTTTTCAATAGCCAAATTTTTCGTCTTTGCTACTTCCTTCATTTCTAGCGATTTTGAGAAGATTTCATTAAAATGTTCTAACGTTGATTCGTCAAGATGTTGGTTAGTAAGATTTAATGTTGTGCTAAATTTGTTGTCGGAAATTCCCGCATCGCCTATTTTTTCGCCATTTCCTTCGTTGAAATGCACTTGTAACTTTTCCTGGTTTTTATTGTCTTTGATTTGCTTCTGATTCCCTCCACAGTCTTGCATAGAAAGAGAATCTTGATTAACCATGTTTAATGCAAAAATTTGATGGGATATGATGATTGACGCACACAAAATGTTTTGTCAATAATTTTTGGTGCTCCATGACAACGTTATTGGGATTGTTAAATGAGCAATGTTGAGAATGGGACATTAATTTTATTTAGTTGTAAAGCTTGCTTCTTTGAAAACTGTCAATTTTTTTTAAATAAATCAAATCCACACAACTGTTTATTGTGATATATACTATGTGATAGGTATGTTATGATAGGTATATCCTTAGCATCCTAGGTCTAGGTCTAGGCTTAGCATTGAGTTATATTGTATGTCAATGTCAATACCCGCCCACTCAACCTAACCTATCTTTAATGTTCAACGTAAATTTTTAAAACTATTATCATTCAGGCTTCCCAACCAGAGGTATTGAACATCAGTTACTGCTTGATCGATTTGATGTTGATTCACTTCAGTTTAGAAGAGTTTGTTCTGGTTTAAAATTCTTAGGTTTATAAAACATATTAAAGCAAGAAAAAAGTTAGGTTTCTGTGGATATACTTATTCCTCCCCCTGTATATATTCCTATTTCTTCCGGTTTTTTTGTAAGTCATCGTCATGGTAGCTAGAGAGAATAAACCATAGATAATAAATCATAAACGCTACAGTGTGAACCCATCTGACTGAATGTAAACCTCAGAATTATGACATGAGTTTTTTTAATTTTGTAAAATATTGTTTAAAATTAAAATTGGCTCCATTCGACAAGAAATGATGGTGTTAACCTCTCGTGAAATCGAAATTAGTACCTCAATGAATTCCTTTCCTCGCTTATCTTAACTTTCATCTTTGCGAGTAATTGCTAAAGGTAAGATTCCACCAAGCGCGCAAAACGTTTGTGAATGTTTGCAAATATTTGCAAACTCAATATTTGTTTGGTGGAGACGGTGGTCACGCGCATTCGCAAACGTTTGTTCGCATTCGGCCGTGTTCCGAGCGGTGTCGGTACATCAAAGGGATTTGTTGTTCGTGTGTGCGCTCAATGGAAACGACCTTGGTGTTTTGTGACAACCAGCATTCCGAGCCGAGTTCACAAATTTGAACAACAACAATGGATTGGGTCAATGAAAAGTGTTTGCAATTAATTGAATTGTACAAAATGAAGCCAGAAATATGGCAAGCTACTAATAAGTTTTATTACAACAAACTTAAAAGCATGACCGTCTTGTTTTCAAAAAATACGATGTCCAAAACCTGTGTTTTCTTCTCTTTCTCTTTTCACTCTTTTTCAATTAACACATGCATAATTATGAACGCTGCGGCACTAACACGACGTTTTCTCGGCGCAATTACTACCTATTTTCTGGATCGATGACAAATGTTTGCAAACGCACATTTGTTTGCAAATATTTGGGTGGTGGAGACGAATGAATTGCAAACATTTACAAACATTTGCAAACGTTTGTTCGCAATAATTTTTTGGTGGAGTTGCACCTTAAGATTTCACCGCTCGTTAAACAATATCTTCGATCGGTTTCTTGCCTAGACACTTAAAAATGATTTAGACCAATCGGGTTAGGTTGTTTATGGCAAGGGCCGTAGACATTTATTACTTACTACTTTAAAAACCAATAAAAAAATCGAATTAGGTCAGATCTAGCCTCACTTGCTAATTTTTATTGTACGTTATATGTATCGTTTTATAAATTAAATTGGGTCTTGAAGATAAAATGTTGTATGCCATTCTGCCCACCCTCGTGAAAATTTTTTCTGAAGAAGATTTAATAAGTAAAAATAAGAGTTTTAAAAGTCTTACTTTCTCTTAAAAACTCTGTATAAGACTTATTAAGTCGGAAAAAGTCAGAATAAGACTTAGTAAGTCAGAATAATAGCAAGATTTGGGAGTCTTCTGGAAGAGTTAATAAGACTTTTAGCGATAAATATCCGGAATAATTCAGATAGGTTGTATTTGGTTATTGTAACATAAAACAAAGAATAGTATATTACACTACAAGGGCAGAAAGTGTGAGATTCCACTTTCTGCCCGTGTAGTGTATACTATTTTTCTTACTACCTCGGCCGAAAATACAACCCGGCCGAAAATACGGGAAAAAATTAAATGTGTATATCGAAACATATTGATGCCTGCATAAATTTTGAGGTTATATTAGTGTCATAATCAGAGTTGCATATGTTGAGCACACGACTAAACAATTTTTACTCCCGCTATTATAGAGTGTGCGCGTATAGCTTGACCAATGCAAGAAACGTAAACTTTCTGCCGTGAAATCGGGGACGAAACAACGTATTTTCAGCTACATCATTGGGAACGCTAAGACGTTTGAAAAATACTAGATTATCTTGATAGCTTTCATCCTGTGTCCAAAATTCTACATTCTTATTGATAAAGTCAATGGGTAAATCAAATATATTAAATATATATGTATATTTGATACTTAGTTAAAAACCATCGGCAAAAATATCCCAATTTTAACAAGAAAAATTTAGTTTGACTCTAAGATAGTAAAAAAGTACAAGTTATGGAATCGGTACCTTAAAATGACAAGGTTCTAAGTGCAGCTGCACTGTTAAGCGAAAGTGACTTTATCTACAATATTAAATATTGCAGATAAGGCATTTTTGCTTTGAAAATTGAAAAATTATTGAAACATAATAAGTAATAGTTAAGTGTAAATTGAATATTTCTTATTTTAAAAAAATGATTATTTTTTTGTCATTACTCAGGTAAAGAAAAAATTTCGAATTAAAAAAAAAATTAAATATAGGAAAAAAGCGGTTTTTTCACGACTATTGAAATTATTTTATGAGAAAATTCTTTCTTAAATTTTAAAAATTTTAAATTTAGCTTACTATATTTATGCTTGAATAAGAGTGTGTGTCAGGTAAATAAAAATCTTGTACAGATGGTTAAAGAAGAGCCATAATATTAGGGATTAGTTTATTATTTAAAATATGAATGGTTTGTATTAATTTTTATGCATTTTTAACGCAAATATTCAAAATTAAAAGTTTTAAATAAAAGTACTGACTCAGTTAAACCAATGTAATTTCATTGGGTCAGATCCTACAGCACTCTACATTTTATTTTGTGTTGTCTATTCTAATTTAATAATTATATTATTTTCTTCAGGTTGGGCACATGTTGAAGTTGGGTTGTAGCACGCGTACTTTTATATTAACAGGGCCCGACAACGATGCTGAGAAAGAATCTGAACTTACAGTTACCGAATTAAAATTAAAGAGAGCTGAAGAACTTAAAAGACGGGCGGAGGAAGAACGAGAAGCTGCCTTAAAAGCGGAAATGGAAGAAGCAATCAGAAGAAAGAAGGAGGAAGAAAGGGGAGTCGATTGGGGATTAGGCAAGAAAAAAAGACTTGGTGCCGAGCAACTATTTTATATGTATATTTTAGGTGAGGATGCTGAAGAAGAATCGGAGTTAACAGAAAACCCATACGCCCAAACAAACAACGAGGAACTTTATTTGGACGATCCCAAAAAAGCCCTGCGCGGTTTTTTCGAAAGGGAGGGTTTGGATTTGGAGTACAGTTGCGAGGAACAAGGCATGGGTCAATTTTTGTGCAAAGTCGAGCTACCCGTGGACGACGACATGGGTAGGCCGATTTTCGCAGAGGTCTTGCACAAGGGTAAGAAGAAAGAAGCCGTCATTCAGTGCGCGTTGGAAGCTTGCAGGATATTGGATCGGCATGGGGTTTTGCGGCAAGCAGTGCACGGTAAGGAAATATTTATATTTTCAAAAGGTTAAAAATTCAATTATATTTTTAAGAATCGCGTAAGCGCAAAGCCAAAAATTGGGAAGATAACGATTATTACGATAGTGACGATGACACATTTTTGGATAGAACTGGTGCTATTGAAAAGAAGAGAGAAATGAGAATGAATGCCAAGGCTCAACCTAAAGCAGAAACATATGATTCTTTGGTAAGTATCCTAATTTATATTTATTTATCTTTTTTTTCAATTTTATTATGGACAAAAAGTCAATTTTTCTAAACTAATCAAAATTATTTTATTAGATTTCATGGAAGTTCTAAAAGTTAAATTATATTAATATATTTGTTTTTTAATGGTAATTCTTTATTGTTTTCTAAATGAATAATAATATAATAATAACAATAATAATAATATAATAATAACAACAATAATAATAATTTTGCAGTTTTAAAATCCTGTAGATAGTATGTCCAACTTGTAAAATACAAAAGTAAATGTTAGAGAATAGTATTTTAATAATTATAATTAGTTAAAAAATTAGTGTTTAAAAGTTTTTCTTAGGGATAAAATAAAAACAATAAATTATAATTACATTGTTCGACAAAATTAATTTTTGTTTTCCACATGGGAGCCAACAACTTTTCCAAGTTTATTTGTGTTCACTGATTCCAAAAATTCCTTAATTAGCGTTTGTTTTTGAGATATTGTAAAAAAACGTTTTTTTCAATATGCAAACATTCAAATTCGTATATATATTTTTTTAATAAAATACTTTAACCAAGGTCATGTAGCTAGGAGTCCTAAGTTAACTAAAAAAAAATTATACATTCCTGAAATAGGTCCCTTAAAATTCATTTTTGACAAAATAAAATCGATTTTATTAGCAAAAATTCGACAATTTTTAAATTTCAAAGTGCTGTTACGCGAACATTTTTTGTCCGATTTTAATGAAATTACAAAATTTTATAACTTCATTTATCTAATTTATTATGTTACGCAATCAAATCAAAATTGTCGAAATGGCACTCTAAAACAACTGCGCGTGGCAAAATTTATAAATAAGATAAAAATAAATTAAGTAAATGTATGGATTTGAAATTCCTTCATAATGAGGTATCACTTAACCCATTTTTTCTTTATAAATTGTAGGGGTTACCATCACCCCCGCTGGTGTTGGAGTAGGGTTAAGAATATAAGCGTTTTTTTATTCTTTTTACATAACAACTGAGAAAATTGTGCTAAAAACTTTTCATTGGCCCACCCTGTATGTATGAATATGTAACTAATTTTAATTAGGTACTTTTGAAATGGTACATTATTTACATTACTCTCTCTAAGTTGAACTCCCTCTAACTCAAACCGTTCAACATGTCAGATGACAAATTAACTTGGAAGAAGTTGACTGTAATACCAAAAATGAACTTGACCTAAGGGTAATAAAACTGAGGGTTAAAACAAAATACGTCCATGTTTGTAATGATTACCTACCGAGTTCGTGTGGCATAACTACTGTTACTTTTGTTCACAGAATTTTTGTAGTATTTCCTACGACTTAAGTGGTACATACGAAAATGACCGTAAATATAAATTTTGTCACGCGCGGTTGATTTGAGTGTCATTTTTGCAATTTTTATTTGATTGCGTTGAAAATTTAACACAAAAATCAATCTACAAAATGTTGCATGTTTGCATATTGAGAAAAAATGTCGAAAACAAAGTCTAATTAGCACACACAAATTACCCTGGAAAAGTTGTTGGCGAGCTTGTGGAAAAATGACTGTTGACCAGTATTATTAGTTTATTTGGGTTGTTGAATTAAACTTTATTTTAGTTGGAAAAAGAAAAGACCCTAAGCAAATCGATATCAGATCTGGAATCCCAACTGCACAGTGCGCACGCAGCGTTAAAAAAACAGGAAGATATAAACAGCGATGCAGACTCGCTGGACTCCTTCATGCAAGAACTTAAACAGTCAAAACCCGATAAACAAGCGATAAATAAACTGAAAACCGAACTTACCAAGCTTAAAGGCGAACACGCGAACGTGATAAGGCTGGCGAACATCGCTAAGCCGGCAAGTTTGCCTCCTCTGGTGCCACAGTACACTTTCGGACCCAGTACGAGCAAAGATGCCGCCAAAACTTTGCCCATGTTCGGAAAGAGAAAGAAAATCAAGGTGCAACTGCCCGCCAAACCGACCACCGCGCAATCAATGGAATGCGAAGACGGCGAAGAGGAAGAAGAAACTGAATCGGAACCCACTTCCACAAAATCTGCAGAACCCACAACCACGAAAACTGCGGAACCCACAGCCGCTCCAGTTACTGAAGCTGTTAGTAGTACTGAAAGCGTAGGAGGCGCCTCGAATGTTAGCGTAGCCGACTCGGATTCGGTCAACAGTGACATGAGCAGCGACGATGAAAATGCCGACTCCACGCCTTGCACGATGCATAACAAAATGACATTCAGAAAATTTGAAATGTTGCTCAAGAAAGGGCTTCCGCCTTTTGCAGGTTCGTTTATACCAGAGTTAGGTTAGTTGCTTTTATTAATTCCATTAATACATTTTACCGTGAGTCTGGGTTAGGGAACGTACCCATCCTACGTGACCCCATCCCCCCATAGGTGACCACCAGTAGTATATGCCAAGACCCCCTTCCCTCCCCCTCTAGTTTTCACATAGTAATTTATAAATATGGTTTTTAATCATTTTTTGCACAAGAAGTTAAAAAAAATAATTTGGCTCATATTGGTCTGTATTCATATGACGCTTGCTGCCTATAATTACAAGTGAAAATAATATTATTAAGAAAAACTTAAAAAACTATAGCTCGAAAAAGCGCGAAAGGATATTCACTACGTGACAGAAACCTAACCCCCCCGTCCCTGTGACCAAGCGTGGTATTTTGAAGACCCCCTCCCCCTGAACGTTCCCTTATGTATGCTTAATTAATATGAAATGCCAAAACTTCAACATATAAATTTTTAAGTACTATCCAACAGTAGGTAAGTAAATTTAATGCATACATACTTAAAAACTAATCAAGAAATCAAGTTTTACCTGTTTCATTTATTATAGTAGTTTAACTAATTAAAAATAATGTTTTTAGGTCAAAATTTTTAGTATCCATGTTTTTTTCAAAATCCATTTTAAATGTTTGTGTTATTTTAAAATATTTATGGGTGTTGTGTAGTTCATAAAACCAGTAAAAATTAATTTCTTAGATTCCCACAGCTTTTTAACACTAGTTACTTAATTTCGATCCCGACTGACGTCATAATTTTACGATTTTATGTATTTGTTACAATAAAACTAAAACAAACCAATTTGGTTGAACAAAAATAAAAAAATCATTTACACAAAACTATAAGTCGGAGATAAAAAAAACTTAATTAGTAATTATGCAAGTACAAGTTTTGATTGGATTTTTATTTTTCTTAGCTCCAATTTTGAATAATTACTAAATATTTTTTTAAATTAATTCGCGCTAATATATATTTATATAGAATGGAACACCGGTTTAAAACTATTCGCACAGGTTTCTTAAAGCAACTTGACTACATTTTTATACATATGGCAAGAGTGTTTTTCTGGAATCTTTATTTATTTATTTATTCATTTCAGTACATATTTACAATTAGTATATATTAAAATATATATACAAGGTTTTAGCCCATGGCTATGCAACCCAATAACACCTTCTTTAGAGCTCAGGGACTGTTTGTAAAAAGTTTTTCATTTTTATATAATTGTTTCCTATATCTTTTAGCATTTCAATGATGGTGCTTCCAGTTTTTCTTTCTGTTTTCTCTCTTTCATCTTTGTTTTTTTGGCAGTGTAGTAAGACATGTTCTACCGTTTTGGGTGTCCCACAAGTTGGACAGTTTGGGTTGTCTGTTAACTTAAAAAGGTGCTTTTTATCGTTGAGGAGACCATGTCCAGTTCTGCATCTTATTATTTTTTTGGTGGTGTGTCTTTTAATGTTAATATTTTGGAACCAAGGTTTTATTTGTATGTCAGGTTGTATTTTTCCGTACCATTTACCTTTTGTTGTTATTGTGTGGTTGTATTCGAGTTTCCATTTTTCTATTATTTTGTCTTTGATATTTCGCCTTAAAAGCTCATTCACATCCACTTAATAGGCGTAACTTAACTTAACTTAACTTAAGAAACCTACGTCTGTTAAGTTGTCTGTTTACATTAACTTAATACACGCAAAGAACGTAATATACAAGCACGTGCAATGTAGACATCGATGTAGACTGGGTTGCCTATCTATCTATAAAAGTGAAACAACAAGATAGCGCTATATCGTTTTACTGGGCATGTGATTGGCTCTATCTATAAAAGTGAAACAACAAGATAGCGCTATATCGTTTTACTGGGGATGTGATTGGCTCACGTAAGAAACGTATTGAGCCGGACCCAACTTTTGGATACGTTAAGTTACGTGTAATAAGTTTTCTACGAATGTAAACAGCTGCCTTGGTTTCAATGTATTTCAACTTACGTCTCTCTCGTACGTTAAGTTAAGTTACGCGTATTAAGTGGATGTGAATGAGCTTTAAGTCGTTGTAAGGCATTTTTACGTTATAGATAGGCTGTAACGCTTTTTTGGCGGCTGCATCTGCCATTTCGTTGCCTTGGATATTAATATGTCCTGGTATCCATTGGAATTCAACATTATTGTCCTTGATATTATTAATTTTGATGTATATCTCTTCTGCTATCGGATGTGTGTTTTTTAAAGTGTTTATATTTACAAGTGTTTGTAAAGCTGCCTTTGAGTCTGTTAGAATTACATAATTTTGTGTATGAGGTGTTGTGTTTTCAATTAGGTTTAATGCCATAAGGATTCCTGTTAGTTCTGCCGTTAGAATTGTTGCGTTTGTTTGTATTTTTTTACTTATTTCTTTGTCAAGAGATGGGATTACTGCTGCCGCCGCTGTGTATTCTGTTTTTTTCGATCCATCGGTGTATATTTTTTCGAATTCATTGTATTTATTGTCTATCATTCTTAGGGTTTCTGTTTTAAGTATTATTGAATCTTCATTTTTGGATTTGATATTAGGTATATTAATTGTTACTTTTAGTGGTTGTCTGGATAATGGAAAGTCATGTGGGGGATATATGCTGTTGACGTAAGTTAAGGCTTCTTTGTACTCTTGATAGGCAAGTATGTCCTGGGGGATTTTAGTCTTACTCCAGTATTTATTAGTTGTTACGAGGTTGTTCAGTAGGTATGTAAAGTTTGATTTCTGTATGACCGTAAATTGACCACCATCTAGTGAAAGAGGTTCGTATCTGTTGTTCTATGTGTAATTTCATTGGGGTCGTGGCTGCTTCATTGGTTAAGGCGTGTATTGGTGTAGATTTTAATGCTCCTAAGCATATTCTAAGAGATTGGTTTTGGATTGTTGATATTTGTTTTATTTGTTTTTTTGTTAAGTTTGTTCCATAATTAAGTATTCCATAGTTTATTTTTTGTAATGTTCTAGATTTGTATATTTTAAGCATGGTCTCTTGGTTGGTGCCTGTGCTTAGTGCTCTTAGGATGTTGCAATCTTGTTTAGCTCTTTTTGTGATTTCATTTGCATGTTTGTTATGGGTGTATTTTCTGTCCAGCCATATTCCTAGAAATTTATGGGCTTCCTTTTCTTCTACGACCTTTCCTTCCAGGTTTATTGTGTCATGTGGTGGTATTTGATGTTTTCGGGTAAAGTTTATTGTTTTAGTTTTGTTTGGGTTAATTTCCAAGTTTAGATTTTTTAATTTATTTTGTAGTTGATTAAGCGTGTTCGTCATTATTTGTATGTTTTTATTTATGTTTCTACTACTGGTCTCCATTATTACGTCATCCGCATATTGTAGAAAGTTGACTCTTTGGTCCAGGTTTTCCATGATTGAGCAGGTGTAAATGTTAAAAAGTATGGGGCTTAACACCGATCCTTGTGGAAGGCCGTTGTTGGCCACTCTGGATATTTTTCCCCTGCTTGACTCTATGGTGTATATTCTATTTGTTAAAAATTCTTTGATATATCTTAGAAATGTTTTTGGCGTGTTTATTTTGTGAAGGGTTTTAATAAGCGTTGGTATTTGAACATTATCAAAGGCTTGTGTTATGTCTAGGAATGTTGCTGTCATTATATTTTTTTTGATATTATTATTTAGTTCATATATGGCATCTGAGGTGTTTCTTCCTTTTCTAAATCCGAATGTTGTAGGTGGTAAAATTTTGGCTTTTTCAATAAAGTACTCTAGTCTGTTTTTGACCATTGTGTTTAGTGTTTTTATTATGCAGGGTATTAGACATATAGGTCGATAGGAGTTTATGTCATCAATAGGCTTGTCTGGCTTTTTAATGGCAATCTTAAATCGGTGAAATTTAGTTATAAATAGTACATTATACGCTAAAGAAGTATCGCTAGTAGCGCCACCACTCGGCTGTTATCATCGTAACAAAAGTAGAACTTTTAATAATCAGCTGTCAAACGCTTAGGTTACAAACGAGTGTTTTTGAGAATAAAGCCGGATAATGTTAAAAACTATCGAAAAAAAACGTGTATCGATTTGTTGTGTTGTTGGGTGTATTTCGAGAGGAAATCCTGGGTTGAGTTTTTACCGGTTTTCCAATAAACAGTGTTAATCTGAATGAAGAAATAAATTGCATACAGTCTCTGTAAATATAAATTGTACCTATTAGATACAATAAATACATTAAGTAGTGATTAACGTGAAAAGTGTAAACATTTCAATTCAGTAAAAATCGTCAAACAAATAAGTCGTCTAAATTTAAACAGCATTTAGCATTATTAAAAGCGCTGATTAAGAATTCTTTAAAGTCTCCACTCAACGGTAAAATACCATTATATTATGTATTATACATATATAATATTATGTTGCCATAAATTCGTAGGTATGTTGTTGTTTAAAATGCAGTTGTCGGCGTTTTTTAGAGAACACAAATATAAAAATGATTGATTTTAAGGTTATGTTATGCAAAAATTATTTTTTACTAATTTCTTAAAAATGTCCAAACTTAAATATAAATTATATTAGGTAAAGTTATCATTAGTTAATTCTGCACCAACAAATGTACTTACCGAATTGGATCCTTTGGCAAAACATGTAAATGCAAAGATTTAGTTCTTGAATTTTATTTAAAAATTAAAAACACAATAATTCACCATGATCCCTTAGATAAAATACACACACTAACGCAACTATATAAGCATTTAAGCGTTGAGTTTCGTAATCAATGATATAAAGAATAATCAATCGAAATCGAGTACTAAACCAGTTTTTTAGTTTTTTCCTTGCAACGTAAAACACAAATAACGTGCGCGATTTAGCTGTGAAATTGAACAAAATTTGTCGAAGACTTCTGCCTTCCTCTATTTTGTGAAAAAACTAACTATTTATTTAAAAATGATGTACAGTTCGTACGCTTTAAATGTATTGTTGACAATTCCTAAATTCACGCAATGCTTTTGAAGTCCACCAGATGGCGCGCGCGTTGCGAAAACCCGATAC